TGTATCACTCTTGCTTTTCACAGAGGGAGAAACAGCAGCCTGACTCCAGAGTCAAACCCAAGGACACCTGTCTGTGGCAAACATGAGCAAAATATAGACAATGCAGTGAGCTTTTCATAAAGGAAAATGTATTCAATCTGAAAGAGCACCTTTTTTCCTGGTATTCTTACTTGGGGATAGAGGTATTAAAATGCTGTTTTGCTTACTACATGCTAGTAAACAAAATTCTAAGCATCATTTGAATCTCCTCTTCTGGCACAATGAAAATCTGGCCTATCTAAGATAGATTCCTCAATGATCTCTGCAAAACGGAAGGCCAGGAACCACAGCTCTGCTATACAGCCTTGCTGTCGCAGGATGACAGCAGGCTTCTGTCTCCCCCATTCAACAAAATCAAACTCTAAATACCAACAGCCAGCAACAACTACCTCTTTCTGTACCTGCGTCAACCCATCTTTGAAGAACGGCTTTTGAACTGAGCCTTCCCAAGCCCTCCCGCCTCCAGCACATCCACTGTGCATTTGTTCATGCTTCTTGTATTTATCTCCTCCCTCCTCCAGTTACAGTTATCTGTATCCTACCCACCCTTGGACCCTGTAAAGCAGTTCTAGAACAGAAGAAAGGGCTGCTGCACTGTTGCACACTTAGAGATTGAAGGGTGCTATAGGCCCTGACTCGCATTTTGCAGGTGCGGGAAAGTAAAGGGCCTGACCTCAGGCTGCCCAGTGAGTCACTGGCAGTTCTGGGATGAGGACCTGAGTCTCCTGACTTGTCAGGCAGGGCTGGCTCTTTCCACTGCTCTAGGCTGCTCCTATACACTGCCTTTTGGTTGGCTCAGCATCTCCATCCAGAGTACTGTGTTGAGCATGTGACAAACACTTCATAAATAGCTGCCCATCCAGAGACACAAAGCAGCCTGGGGAACACAGTCCTCCCTATCCAAAGGCCCTTGGATCAAGCTTGGTTTCATTTGCCTCAAAACTTTGCTAGTGCCAGCTGCTCACTAAAGGATAAAATGCCCCTCAGGTCCTTAGTGGCCTAGATGATGAAAGACCCCACGTGGCAGTCCCCATTAGGCCTGAGTTATAGCCCAACTCTGCTGAGCCAACCTGGGTACATGTCTCGGCCCCTGCAGGTGCTAATGGCTCCTCCAGACAGGTGAGATGCTGTGAATAGACAGCAGGAACTCACCAAGCCTACTAGATGGCTATAGGTACAAGGCAAGAGTCCTGCTTCTAGAAGCCTCTAAGGATAGCAAAGGTTATGGTCTACCTGGAATAACTGGGCAGTTCCTTGGAGCTGTGCCATGGAGTGAGCCTGTATAGTCCCTTACACCTATGGACACCTTCTAGGTGGTTGGAGACAGAAGCTAGCAGGTTTCTCTAATAGTTAGGAAATGTTCCACCCTGGGTAAAACCATTATTTATTATTATTGTTATTCCCAAACTCAATGCAGAAAATAAGAAGACAATGGCATCATCTCTCTAAAGCTCCCTGACTGTCTCAGAAGGAAAGACCATCCCCTTCTCTCTGTCCCCTGACACCCATATCAGTGTGCCTCATAATTCCCTGACGGTTTTCGTAACTACAGTCAAATGTGTCTACTTTCCTCTGTTAGATGGAGCTTCCTGAAACCCAGCATCACCTAGAGTTACAGAGAGAGGTAGAGTCAGAGAGAGAGGTCCTCCATCTGCTGGTACACTCCCAGATGGCCTCAATGGCCAGAGCTGTGCCTATCTGAAGCCAGGAGCCAGGAGCCTCCTCTGGGTCTCCCATGTGGGTGCAGGGGCCCAAGGACTTGGGCCACCCTTCACTGCCATCCCAGGTCATAGCAGAGAGCTGGATTGGAAGTGGAGCAGCCGGGTCCAGAACCGGGGCCCACATGGGATGCCGGCACCTCAGGCCAGGGTGTTAACCCACTGCCCCACAGTGCCGACCCCAACTTATTTTTCTTTTCTGTATCTCATGCAGTTAGCACAGGGCCTAGCTACTAAAGAATAACAAATGCTAATCAATGTTAGTAATAACAATGCTAATCTCCTTCACCCCCTCTACTGAGACAGGGTTGCACTGAGGCCTCTTTGAGCCAGGCAATATCTCTACTGCATTTGAGATAGGAACACCTCTCTTCAGAAGGAAACTGGTTTATCCTAGGTTATCCAGTTAACAGGAGGGGTCAGACCAAAAGCAACTCCTGTGCCTCCTAGGCCACCATGTTTCCAACTAAATGTTCCCCAGGTTCTAGGACATATTAGCTGCACAACACTGAGAAAAGACTCTTCGCTCTCTCACTTGTACAAAGGATAGAAGTATGTATACTGCCTACAGAAGGGAATGGTCTGGGAAGTGGATAATTGAACTAAGGTGAAACAACACAGTAGGGGCTGGCACTGTGGCAAAGCAGCAATGAGAGCATCTCATGTTGGAATGCACTGGGTTCAAGTCCCCCAGATGCTCCACTTCCAATCCAGCTTCCTACCTGGGAAAGCAGCAGCAGATGGCCCAAGTGCTTTGGGCCCTGCTGTCTGTGTGGAAGTCCCGGATGGAGTTCCAGGGTCCTGGCTTTGGTATGGCCCAGCTCCAGCCATGGAAGCCAGCTGGGGAGTGAATCATTGGATGGAAGACATTTCTCTCTGTCTCTGTCTCTTTCTCTGTCACTCTTTCACATAAATAAAATAAAGCTTTTTAAAAAGTAATAAAAGCTTCATTTAAAAAGAAAACAGCATAGTACAGAAGAGGCACTCATGTCTGTCATGACTGTCTCTCAGGCCCGTCTCTCAGGCCCAGCCACTTTCCACGATTAAGGGGCAGCCATCACTAGCGGCAAAGCAGAGCTCACTCTGGAAGGAACAGTCTCCAGTCCTGATTCACATCCCTCAATTCAACCCAGCGAGTCCCCTGCAGCAGCACTTGGGGGACATGCCATCATTCCTGTCATGAGTCCTTCACAGCTTTCCTGTCTCCACATCCCTGAGCATAAGCAAGTACACACACAACTCACAAGACAGCATAGGAGGAGGCACAAAGCCTTTGGAAGAGCACGATCATCTGAGTCAGACAGACCAGGTGTCGAGTGACAGTTCCACCACCTCTAGCTGTACAGTCACAGGCGAGTTACTTCATCATTCTAAGCCTCAGTCTCTTTATCTTTCAAATAGGTATCATTTATTATAAGGATTATCTAAGATGGGTGATGGCCTGGCATTTCATAAATGAGGCTGAGAGTAATAAATAGCTGTCTATGTCTATTGAACAAAATGTCAGAACATGAAAGGGCCACAGGATCATTGAGTTGAGTCACCTTAGTACATACATGGAAACACAGAAGCCTTGAGAGAAGGCCTGCTTGGCCCAAGGTCACAGAATGAGGTGGCTGTTGCATGGAACCAGGGACCCAGGTCTCCTGGCTTTCTCCTTCTCTGCTCTCCTCCCTCTGACACAGTGATGGCTCTCTTCCCAGTCCTCTTCCCTCCACTGTCACATCTGATAGCAACCAGCACCGCTGAGATTCCTGTCTGACAACATCACTACTCTCCTGAGCACACCTGCCTTCTTCCCACCCAGTCAGGAGCCCTAGAGGAGCGATGAAATATCAGCCAGCCACTAAATGACAATAACAGTATTACTAACAGCAATAATGAAAACAACCTACAATTGGTAGAGTATCCTGCTCTTCTAAGTGTTTTTACCTATACCATCTACACACTGCAGTTTCTCCCTAATGTTGGCTTAGGGACATAATTTCCTCAAATTTATTCAACACTTACTGAGCACCTATTTTATGTCAGAGGCTGGAAACGCACAGAGAAAAAAGGGCCTCTGCTGAGAGGTGTTCACAGTCTAATGGAGATTTGGGGCAGGGTCTGGGAGGTACATGATGACTTCTTTGGGCCCACATGGTGTAGCAGCCAAGTGTCACTCTCTACCCCAAGGGGAACCTCCTTTACCATGTTGTCAAAGGTGTCACTAGAATAAACTGGAGCCAGAAAGGTCCAGTGCTAGGCTGACAATGACAGCCTTTGAGAGAAGATGAATAGAAAACGCAGGCAGCCCAAACTTGATGGCCTTGTCTCAGAGCGTGTCTAGGGAGAGGCTCCAGGGAGGGCACGAGGAAAGCAGTGGGATCCGTGTGAAATCTGGCAGCTTCGGTCGCCCCACTGTCACCAGAAATAAGATTCCAATGCTTCTATTCCCTTAGGGAGTATCAGGATTTTCCAAACCCAGGGCAGGGTTCCACATGTCTCCTTGGGACCATCATTTGCTAGAATGATGTCACAGCTTTTGCAATGGAAATGTTTGTGCCTCCTGGTTGCTGCCGTGGCCCTCAGCCTGGGGGCCCAACACTTTCCAGCATTCATTATGCCCTGGCAGGGATACCGTGGCAAGGATGTGGGAGAGACTGGTGTGGGAATGGAGGAGAAAGAACTAAAAACAACCACTCCCTCCTGTCTCCAGGTCTATCTCCCAAGTTCTGAGTCCTTGAGAACCCACTACGTGCTCAGCATATACAGAGAAGTGTGGGTGCTTCCATATCCATCTCAGAGGCATGAACCCCTCTTTCCCGGTTAACAGATGAGACAATTGAAGCTTGAGGAAGGAAAGCAGTCATACAGCAGGATGTCAATACAAGACTGACAGCTCTAGTCCATGGCATCCCCAAGGTTAAGGTTTCACTTGAGAAGCGCAGCTTTGAAATCAAGGGAGGAAACACTGATTATTGGATGGACCTCAATTTAAATGTAGATGGAAGTACCCCCCCACCAGCACAGAAAACCTGCTCAAATATATAACTGTGCAGACCATCTAATCCAACTCCTGCATGTAACAGATGAGCAGACAGACACCCACGCCTGAATTGTAAGATGGCTACTGTGGCCAACTAGCAAGTGAAGGGCCTGGAAGCCCCATCTCTGGTACTTTCTTTACACCACTCTGCCTGCGGAGACCATGGTTTTCTGGGAAGCTCCTCCAGTGCAGCCCAGCCCAACCCACACTAACAGATGGGTAGAGAAGGCAGAGGAAACAGGCAGCCTGTGACCAGGCCTCTCCTGCAGGGTTGAGGAAGGGAGTCCCAGGCTGTTTGATGTTGTAAACAGCCCAGCTTTCTGCAGCAGATTGGAAGGAGATGGGAGGCTCAGATCTCCCACTCTAGGGGTCAGGGGCATTTTCCTTGGATCTACTGCAGAGCCCAAATACTTCCCTGAGGACAAGATGGGAAGGGAGCAGTCACTGGCATTTGACCTTGGGGTACGTGTGGGGTTCCCATCCTCCCCCTCCCAGGTACCCTTGCTTCTCCTCCAAGAGGAATAAATGCTAAATCCCAAAAGAACAGGCATATAGGCATGGGGGAGTCCCCTAAAACGCTCCTGATGGCCCACCTTGGGCATCTCCCCTGCTGCCATTAGCTTCCCTAATTAGTAAATTTCAGAAGGTGGAGGTGGGGGGGGGGGCTGCTCCTAGAAGGAAGGGAGGGTAAGAATGAGTCACGATTAACCCCTCCCTGGCCGGTGCTCCCTGGAGGGATTCTACCCGCAGCGGGGGATCGCAGGCTGCCCCACCCGCGGCCCAGCGGCCTCCTCACCTGAGTCCCCTGGCCCTCCGCAGTCCCGCCGGCTCGCACGACTCCGGTCCCGCTTGGCGCAGCGTCTCTGCAGTCGCTGCTGCAGCCGCCTGGCCCCGATCAGCAACCTGCGGCGGCGGGGAAGAGAGACAGACGGGGGCGGGTGAAGGCGGGCGGAGGAAGCCCGGGAGACCAAACCCCTGACTGCGGGCAGCCGGGCCGCAGCCGCGAGGTTGGGAGGGCAGCTGTCTGCGGGCGCTCGGGCTATGCTCCGTGCGGCCCGCGCCCCAGTCCCCGGCCCGCCGCACTCTGGGCGGCGGCTGGCGCAGCTGGGCCCGGGGGTCCCTGGGGTTCTTGTCATCACCTGCGGAAGCGTCCATGGCTTGGGCTGGCCCTGCCGGGACAGCCGGATCGAGCTCCGGAGCCCCTGCTGGAGGCGGCTAGCTGGGTGCTCGCCGGGGCTGGGGCTGCCGGGAGGGAGGCGGGGAGGGAGAGGTGGATGCAGGGGCCGAGCCAGTCGGCGGCTCGCCGGCAGCTGCGTAAGCCGCCCGTCTTCACTTTCCTTCTTAAAGAGATAGTTGGTGTCTCGCTCCCGAGGGCCCTGAGTTGGGACACAGGCCCGCCGGAAGTGGGACCCTCTCCCCCCAAGGTACGCCAGCCTGTGCTTTCCAGGTGCGTGATGGGGCGTGGTGGGAAGCGGTTGGCCTGCTGACCCACTGTGTGGCCCTGGGCAAGTCCCGTAGATTGTCTGAGCCTCAGCTTTCTCATCTGTAGCAAGGGATGATAATCCCAGTATCACTCCCTGGCACGCACGTGAACTTTTATTCCCCAAACCAAATCTCAGTACCAGGTGTGGTTCATGCTTGGTGCTTTTATCCATCCTGAACTCTGATTAATTGATGTGCTTAGACAACCTACATTTAATGTGATTACTGATATGTCCGCATCTAGGTCTATCCTTTTATTTTTGTTTAATGTTGACGATTTCAGATTTTGGTTTGACATGAGACCAGGCTGAGGGCTGGTACCAAGCACATAGACTACAGAGAAAAATGATCTTAACTATCCGAAAACAGAAGTACTTTCGTCTGAAGTATGAAAATGGTGCTTCATGGGAGGATAGTTGGAGGATTAGCTGAAACCCACGGTAAGTATTCTTTGGGGATCTTCTCTCTTTGTCCCTGTCTGATAGCACCGGGGAAACGGGACCGGACGACCAGGAATCTGGATTTCCACTTCCCATTTCTAGCCCTAACGCTTCTAGCCATGCAACATTAGACAGTTAACTCACTCTGTGGGTCTAGTTTCTTGTCTGCTCATCCCTTTCGGAATCTGCCCTGTCTGATCACCCATTCCTCTGCTCAAAAGAATTTCGTGGCATTCAGCCTGGCGGTTACCTGCTGGTTAGGACCCCGCCTGCCTTCCACATCTGAGTACCTGGATTCCATTCCTGACTCCAGCCCCTGATTCCAGCTTCCTGCTAATGCAGACTGTGGGAGGCAGTGGTAATGGCTCAGTGGGAAACCTGGGTAGAATTCCTGGCTCTAGGTTTCACTCCAGCCTAGCCCTAGCACTGTGGGCATTTAGGGAGTAAACCAGCAGATGGGAGCACTCTCTTTCAAAGGACTAAATAAAAACAAAGCAAACATCACTTTCTGCTGTCTGCCCTCATCTTACTCTACCTCTCTGATGTTACTTTCTCTCCCCACCCTCACTTCCCTCTCATTAAACTACATTTGCTGTGCCCTTTGCCTGGAACATTCTGGATACCTGCACTGTTACTCTTCCACTTCCTCAGGTGGTACTGTCTCAAGGACTCCTTCCTTGATCACCCCACATGAAATACTGAGGCTCTACTTCACTTCTCTTTTGACCTAGTTTTGTTGCATTTAATTACCAGTTGACATATTATTATTATTGATTTTTTGTCACTTATCACCTCCACTAGAATGAGAAGAGGAACTTTGTTTTTTCCTCTTGCTCCATGCTCAGTGCCTAGAACAGTGCTTAACACAGAGTAGGTGCCCAATAAATATTGATTAAATGAATGAGAGAGCAAGCACTCACACATTGTGTGCAGCCCATCTTCTGTAAGAACACTGGTCCAGATGCCAGCCCGGAAATCCTCGGTCTGAAGTCTTGTAGGGCTGTGATGTCCTTGAGTCTCCGGCTACTCTTCTTGGTAATGCTGAAATTGGCAGCCTGTGCTGTTCGCCCCAGGCTGACTTTTCCAAGAGAAGGATTTATAAAATGACTTGACTGGATCACACCATGACACTGCAGTACAAGTCTGGTGATAAATAGTTATTAGCTATAATGTACAAGAAGAAACCATTATTTCAAATCTGTTCCTTTTTACTTTTTTACAAATTACTATTTTGTCACAAATACCCACAACTTTAAAAAAATTATTTTGACATTGGCTACCAAGTAAGTTTGTTTGGGTTCAGAAAGGTTTGGAAATCCACATATAGTTTTTTTCATGACACACATTTCCACGAACTTTTTGAAAACTCCTCATTTTTCCTGCTATTTGTGAAAATGAATTCTATCAGATAGTCATATTGTTTTGTGGAGACATACAGCCGCAGTTGTGGCGGGAAGAGGTAATTGTAGTTGAAAAAGGCAGGTGAGGGCCGGCGCCGCGGCTCACTAGGCTAATCCTCCGCCTAGCGGCGCCGGCACACCGGGTTCTAGTCCCGGTCGGGGCGCCGGATTCTGTCCCGGTTGCCCCTCTTCCAGGCCAGCTCTCTGCTGTGGCCAGGGAGTGCAGTGGAGGATGGCCCAGGTGCTTGGGCCCTGCACCCCATGGGAGACCAGGAAAAGCACCTGGCTCCTGGCTCCTGCCATCGGATCAGCGCGGTGCGCCGGCCGCATCGCGCTGGCCGCGGCGGCCATTGGAGGGTGAACCAACGGCAAAGGAAGACCTTTCTCTCTGTCTCTCTCTCTCTCACTGTCCACTCTGCCTGTCAAAAAACAAACAAACAAAAAAAAAAAAAAAAGAAAAAGGCAGGTGAAATGTTGAGGCCTGCTTCTGAAAAACCTTATGCTGTATTAGTAAGTTCATTGATCAAATATTTTATATTCTCTAATTCTCACCTAAATTATATAAGTGACTTCTTTACACTGTAAGCAAAACCAAAGAAATCCATGTAGTTACTGTGTTTCACAGGGGAAAATTTGAGATTTTCATTAAGAAAAAATTTTTGTCTTTTTTGGTTGATGCCTAGAAGTCTACATTTCCCAGAAGTCTTTCACAAGGAACTTGTCCAAAGCAAGAGAGCTTCTCTACTCATTCCCATCAGAAGTGGTGTTAGGGGCTGGCGCTGTGGCACAGTGGGTTAACACCCTGGCCTGAAGCACCGGCATCCCATATGGGCACCAGTTTGAGACCTGGCTGCTCCATTTCCCATCCAGCTCTCTGCTATGGCCTGGAAAAGCAGTGGAAGATGGCCCAAGTCCTTGGGTCCCTGCACCCGTGTGGGAGATCTGGAAGAAGCTCCTGGCTCCTGGCTCCTGGCTTCGGATGGGCACAGTTCTGGCCGTTGTGGCAATTGGGAAGTGAACCATCGGATGGAAGACCTTTCTCTCTCTCTGCCTCTCCTCTTTGTGTAACTCTGACTTTCAAATAAATAAATAAATCTTTAAAAAAAAAAAAAAAAAGAAGTCACATTAGCCTGGGAACAGCTCTCCTGAGCATCAGAGAGCAGGTAACTGAGAAAAGAATCAGTGTTTGTTATAACATAAACTGCACAAATGAGAATTCGAAGCATAAAATGAAATTATTCCAAGGGAATCAGTAATTTGGTATTGTTTTAGACAAATTGCAAAATACTTAATTTTTTTTTAAGTTCCAAAAACCAATGTTTGTTCCAGTTCTGAGTTAGTACACTCCTCCCACTGAATGAAGCAATAAGACCTGAACAAAATGCAGGCAGCAGCTACTTGAGGATTCTGAAGAGAAAATGTAAGCAGGTACACTGGGGAAGAAGGCCAGACTGCGATGCTCCACGAACTCAGGAGTGGTGAGTCTTTGGCTCCTCTGGTAGCCCTCGGCCTGGTCTCATGTCAAACCAAAATCTGAAATCGTCAACATTAAACAAAAATAAAAGGATAGACCTAGATGCAGACATATCAGTAATCACATTAAATGTAGGTTGTCTAAGCACATCAATTAAGATAGAGATCAGGATGGATAAAGATTACTTTATTAGATACAACCTACAGGAAACTCACTCAAATATAATGATATAGGTAGGCTAAAAGTAAAAGATGGTAAAAGATATGTTACATAAACAATAATCAAAGGAAAGCTGGAATGGCTATAATATTATAAAAAGTAGACTTCAGGGGCTGGTGCTGTGGCATAGTAAGCTAAACCTCTGCCTATGGTATCAGCATCCCATATGGGTGCTAGTTCATGTCCCAGATGTTCCTCTTCCTATCCAGCTCTCTGCTTATGGCCTGAGAAGGCAGTAGAGGATGGTCCAAGTGCTTGAGTCCCTGCACCCATGTGGGAGACCCAGAAGAAGCTCCTGGCTCCTGGCTCTGAATCGACACAGCTTTTCCATTGCAGCCATTTGGGGAGTGAACCAGAGGGTAGAAGACCTTTCTCTTTATTTCTCCCTGTTTCTGTGACTTTACCTCTCAAATAAATAAATAAATAAATATATTTTTAAAAAAGTAAACTTCAGAGAAAAAATACCAAGAATTATACAGTAATAAAAGAGTTACCTCACCAAGAACATGTCATTGTAAATGTATATGCACCTGGGGCCAGTGTTGTGGCGTAGCAAGTTAAGTTGCTATCTGCAAGGCTGGCATTCCATTTTGGTGCCGGTCAGAGTCTCGGCTGCTTCACTTCTGATTCTGCTCCCTGCTAATGTGTCTGGAAGGGCATTGGAAGATGGCCTAAGTCCTTGGGCCGCAGCACCCATGTGGGAGTCCTGTATGAAGCTCCTGGCTCCTGGCTTCGACCTGGTCAAGCCCTGACTGTTGTGGCCATTTGGAGAGTTAAGCAATGGATGGAAGATCTCTATCTTTCCTTCTCTCTCTGCAATTCTGACTTTCAAATAAAATGAAAATTTTAAAAAAATTTGTATGCACCTAATGGAAGAACTTCAAAATACATGAAATACATGAAGCAAAAGCTGACAGGACTTGAAAAGAGAAATAAACAGATCCATGATTATAACTGGAGGCACCAACTCACCTGTGTCAGTAATCAGCAGCACTAGTGGTCAGAAAATAAGATAGATGAACAAGAGTACTGTCAACTACCTAAGTCCAACTGACATTTATGCAAAATGGCCAATCAACTGAGAATATTTCTTTTCAAGTGGCCATAGAACGTTGACCAAGACAGACCCTATAAGACAAACATAGCAAAGTTAGAAGAATCAAAATCACTTAAAAGATACTCTCTGATTATGGCAGAATTAGACAGGAAATTTATTACTAAAAAACTAATCTCTCCTAGAAGTTGAATAACGTAGTTCTTAATAACTCACAGATCAAAGAAGAACTCTCAAAGAAAATTAGAAAATATTTCTAACTAGGCAAAATATTTTTTAATTACTAGTTTAAAATATTTATTTATTTGAAAGGTAGAGTAAGGGAGAGGGAAAAGGAGAGTGAGCCCATGTGGATGGCAGGAACTCAAGTACTTGGGCCATGATCTGCCACCTCCCAGGATACATTAGCAAGGAACTGGCTTGGAAGTGGAGAAGCTGGCACTAGGAACTGTGACAGGAGATGTGGGCAACCCACGTGACAGCTTAACCTGCTGCACCACAAAGCCTACCCTTGAGCAAAATATTTTTAACTGAACCTTTCAAAGTCTGTGCTGTAACTAACGCAATTTTCAGAAAGAAATATATAGCATTGCATGTTTACATTAGGAAAAAAGGAACATCTCAAATCTACTATCTATGCTTCTACCTTAATAAAATCAGAAAGAGAAGAGCAAAACAAGCCAAAAGCAAGCTAAAGGAAAGAAATAATAAATATTAGAGCATGGGGCCAGCACTGTGGTATAGTAGGCTAAGCCTCCACCTGTGGCGCTGGCCTCCCATATGGGTGCCAGTTCATGTCCCAGCTGCTCCTCTTCCAGTCCAGCTCTCTGCTATGGCCTGGGAAAGAAGTAGAAGATGCTCCAAGTCCTTGAGCCCCTGTGCCCACGTGGGAGACCCAGAAGATGTTCCTGGCTCCTGGCTTAGGATCAGTGCAGCTCTGACCATTGCAGCCATTTAGGGAGTGAACCAGTGGGTGGAAGACCTTTCTCTGCGTTTCCCTCTCTCTGTTTGTAACTCTGCCTCTCAAATAAATAAAATATATTTTTAAAAAGTAAATATAAGAATGCAAATAAAGAAAATTGAAAACAGATAAAAAAACTGATAAAACCAAAGCCTGGTTCTTTGATAGAACCAATACAACTTTAAGCCTCTAGCACAACAGAAAAGAAGAGAGGAAGACATAAATTAGTACTATCTGGAATTAAAGAAGGATTATTATCACGGATTCCAAAGATACTGAAAGGATAATAAGGGAATGCCTAGAATAATTTTACACACATTGTGGGGAGCAATTCGGACTATACTGTTACTGGAATTAAGATTTATTCTATGCATCTGCTCTCCCACAATATGGCGCTGGGAGAGAAGTAAACAGCTTCTACCCAGCTGCCTCTCACCAACTTGACAAGCTGCAGGAGCTGCTCCTGATTGGAGGAGAGCGGCGTGCTCGGCGTGTGGGCAGCCGAGTTGGGATTGGTGGAGAGGACTATATAGGAGGAGAGAGACGGCATGGTGGTGTGGGTTGGTTGGAGAGTGCGTTGGAGAGTTCGCGGGGAAGTTCGTTACTTCGTTCTTTCTCATTTCTCTCTACTCATTCTTGCTTTGGGAGTTTGCTGTTTACTTATTCTTACTTTACTATAGAAAGGACTTGTAAAAAAAGGGAACAACAAGCGCCCGGTCCGGTGCGGCTCCTCCGCGTGCGGAGGAGCAGCACACATAAACTCAAAGTAGATGAGATGGACCAACTCCTTGAACCACATACTACCAAACTCATTCAATGTGAAATAGATAACTGAATAGTTCTCTCACTATTTTAAAAATTGAGTTCATAGCTTAAAATCTTCCAAAATATAAATCTCCAGATCCAGATGACTTTGTGGGGAGAATTCTACCAAATGTTTTTATTTTATTATTTATGTATTTATTTTATTTGGGAAAGAAAGGGAGGGAGGGAGTGAGGGAGGGAGGGAGAGAAAGAGACAGACAGAGACCTTCCATCTACTGACTCACTCTTCAAATCCCCATAACAGCCAAAGCCAGGAGCTAGAAACTCCATCTGGGTCTCCCATGTGGGTGGCAGGGACCAAAGTACTTGAGCCATCGTCTGTTTCCTCCAAGGGTGCACATTAGGAGGAAGCTGATTGGAAGTGGATACAGGACTCCCTCCCAGGTACTCCAAGGGATCTGGGCATCCAGGGTGACAGCCTAACTCACTGCCCCACAGCACCTGCCCCCTTACCAAACATTTAAAGAAGACATCTATAATAGGAGAAAGTACTTTATAACTTATGAGGCCAGTGTCACTCTGATTTCAAAACCAGAAAAAGAAACTATAAGAACAGAAAGATACAGCCCAATTTCCCTCATGCAAATAGATGCAAACACCTCAACTAAATATCAGTGAATCACATGAAAAGATGCTTAACATTATTATTTTTTTTAAAGGAGATCTGAAACACAATCTTATTTATTTGTTGTCATTAAACCTTATTTTTGACTGGACTCAGATTTAGAAGTAGACGCTCTCAGAGAAGACAGCCTACATCTCTTGGCAATTTGTTCCTGGCGTTTTTCTTTGGCCTCCTTCATTCTCTTGGCCAAGAATTTAGCATATTCTGCAGCCTCCTCCTTGTTCTTCTTAGTACGCTGTTTCTTCAGAGCAATTCGCCGGCGTTTGTGTTGCAGGACACGTGGAGTAACCAGACGCTGAATCTTGGGTGCTTTGGTCCTAGGTTTCTTACCTTCTTTGTTTAAGGGCTTTCTTACAACATACTGGCGTACATCATCTTCTTTAGAAAGATTGAAAAGTTTACGAATTCTGCTGGCTCTTTTAGGACCCAGGCGACGAGGCACCGTGGTATCAGTCAATCCAGGAATATCTTTCTCTCCTTTTTTTACAATAACCAAGTTGAGAACACTCAAATTGGCATTGACAATGCAGCCCCGAACTGATTTGCGCTTTCTTTCTCCAGTTCTCCTTGGTCTGTAACAGGAATGCCCCTTACTCAGCAGCAGGCGGACCCGCCCATGGGTCAAGACACCTTGCTTCATGGGAAAACCTTGTTTATCATTCCCACCACTGATCCGGACCACATAACCCTTCCATTCTTCACCCAGAGCATCGGCAGCAACTTCTGTGGCCATACGCTTCTCATAGAAAGTACGAAGTTTACGTTCATCGTCCACTTCGATGAGTTTCTGGCAGCCAGTGGCTGGGAAGGAGATATTCAGCTTCATTTTGAAGCAGCTGACCGGCTCGGAGGCGCCAGGGGAAAGAGGCCAACATTATTTTTTTATTTTTATTTTTTGACAGAGTTAGTGAGAGAGAGAGAGAGAGACAGACAGACAGAGACAACCTTCAACTGGTTCACCCCCCAAATGGCCACTACATTGGTTCACCCCCCAAATGGCTGCTACGGATGGTGGCCACACCGATCTGAAGCCAGGAGCCAGGTACTTCCTCCTGATCTCCCACACGGGCGCAGGGGCTCAAGCACTTGGGCCATCCTCCACTGCCTTCCCGGGCCACAGCAGAGAGCTGGACTGGAAGAGGAGCAGCCGGGACTAGAACCCGGTGCGCATATGGGATGCTGGTGCCGCAGGCAGAGGATTAACCAAGTGAGCCGTGGTGCCGGCCCCAAGATGCTTAACATCATTAGCCATTAGTGAAATGAAAACGAAAACCATGACATACCACTTCAACTTACTAAGTTGGGTGTAATACAAAAAGAGGGACAATAACAAATGTTGATGAAAATACGGGGAAATTGGAACTCTGGTGGAAATGTAAAATGGTGCAACTCTTTTGAAAATAGCTTGACAGCCCCTCAAAATGTTAAACACAGAGTTGTTATATGACTCAGCTAAATGAAAACATATACATACAAAAGTGTATGTACTAATGTTAATAGCAGCATTATTGTACTAGTCAAGTAGAAACAAACCACGTGCCCATCAACCAATGAATAAACAAATTATAATAAAGCCATATAATAAAGTATTATTTTACCATAAAAAGGAATGAAGTGCAGATATATTTTACAGCATGGATAAGCCTTGAAAACATTATATTGAGAAGAGCCAGGTAACATATTGTGATTCCCATTTACATAAAATTATTGAATATATAAATCCATAGAGATGGAAAGTGGATTAGTGATTGCCAAGGGTTGTGGGAAGGGTGGAATGGGTCATGATCACTAATTAGTGTGTAGTTTATTTTAGGGGTAATGAAAATGTAGATAAAGGCTATGGTAGCATAATACTGTGAATACACAAGACCCACTGAACTGAATACTTTAAATAGTGGGTTTTATAGTATGGGAATTATGAGCATATCTCAAAAAAGCTTTTAAAAATAAAGTAAATCAGCTGGCACCACGGCTCACTAGGCTAATCCTCCACCTAGCGGCTCTGGCACACCGGGTTCTAGTCCCGGTAGGGGCGCCGGATTCTTTCCCGGTTGCCCCTCTTCCAGGCCAGCTCTCTGCTGTGGCCTGGGAAGGCAGTGGAGGATGGCCCAAGTGCTTGGGCCCTGCACCCCATGGGAGACCAGGAGAAGCACCTGGTTCCTGCCTTTGGATCAGCGCGGTGCGCCGGCCGCAGCGTGCTGGCCACGGCGGCCATTGGAGGGTGATCCAACGGCAAAAGGAAGACCTTTCTCTCTGTCTCTCTCTCTCACTATCCACTCTGCCTGTCAAAAATAAAAAATAAATAAAGTAAATCAAATTCAGTAACATATGAAAGGAATAATATAAAATGAGCAGGTGGAATTTGTCCTGGAAATATAAGATGGGTAAAAAATTTAAAGTCTACCAGTAAATACCACCATATTAACAATCTAAAGAAGAAAAACATCATGATTCAATTAATTAATACAGAACAAGCATTTGACAAACTTCAGCATCCTTTCAAGATTAAAAATACTCTCAGCAGGCTAGGAGCAGAAAGAGATGTCCTTGCTATGGTTTTGGATGTGGTTTGTTCTCAAACACTGGTGTGCTGGAGGTTTGATTCTCACTGTGGTGGTGTTGAGGTGATGGAAACTTTAACAGATAGGGCCTAGCAGAAGATGGGTAGGTTATTGGTGGTATGTCCTCAGTTAATTCCTGTGGGAGCAAATTGTTATGAAAAGAGCAAGTCTGGACCTTGCATCTCTCTGGCTTCTTATCTTGCTCCCTCTTACACTTGCTCCCACTGTGATGCCATCAGCCATGTTGTAACATAGCAAAAAGAGATGTCACCAGTGGCTGAGCAGACTTACCTGATCTTAGCCTTAGAGTCTCCAAAATAGTGAGCCAAATAAGACTCTTTTCTTTATAAATGCCAGCCTGAGATATTTTGTTACGGCAACAGAAAATGTAATAATACGGCCCTCAACCTTACACAAATCACCCCTGTCCCCCCAAAAAACGAAACCAAACAACTCAAGTATGGTTTGTATCATATTTACCAGTGAAAGAGTGAAGGCTATGGTGGGCACTTTGCTCAGTGGTTAAATTGCCATTTAGGAAGCCTGCATCTCATATCAGATAACCTGATCTGAGTCCCAGCTACTCAGCTTTGCATCCAGCTTCTTGCTCACCCACACCCTGGGAGGCAGTGTTCTGGCCCAGCCAGTTCTGGCTGTTGTAGATATCTGGAGAGTGAAGCAGCAGATAGAAGAGCCTCTATCTCTGCCTTTCAAATACGATGAAAATAATAATGTAAAAAAAATTGTAAAAGAGAATGAATGCTTTCCTCCTCAGAATAGGAACAATGCAAAATATTCAGTCTCACCATTCCTAGTCACCCCATATTGGGAGTTTTAACCAATATAATAGATAAGACATTGAAATACTGATGACAGAGGAAGAAAACTATCCCTCTTTCAGACAACTGTCTTTGTACAAAATACTAAAGAATCTACAAAATCTACAAAAGCAAACAAGTAATAAAACACCTAGAACTAATTTATGAGTTAACAAGGTCGCTGGATATAAGGTTAAGCCACAAAGGTTAGTTGTACTAATGACAAAAATTATTGCAATACAGAGCAGCTTAGTGCTTGCAGGGGCTAGGGACTAGAGAGGATGGCAGACAATGGGAAGCACAGTGATCCTTGAGATGGAACTGTGTTTCTTGACTGTGGTGGTAGTCACAGAAAGCTACACATGTGGTAAAATTGCATAGAAGCAAATATGCACACATAAGCGAGTGCATGTAAACTATCTGAATAAGGTAGGTGGATTGTATCAGTGCCAGTTTGCTGGTTGTGAAACTGTACTTAAGTGTTGTATGCTGTTTCCACTGGCAGAAATTGATACACAGTATCTCTCTGTATTATTTCTTACAATTGAATGGGAATCTAAAATTATCTCAGAATAACAACTAAAGGAAAAAAAAATCACCTGGAATTCCATCTGGAATATCTATCTAGAAAATGATTTGGTAATGTATTATAAAGTTAACATGCACTTGCCACATGACTGAGCAATCCTACTTCTAGAGAAATGAAAACTTAGATCCACACAAAAACTGCACACAAATGTTTGTAGCTCTACGTAGTTCTACGTTGGAGACAACTTAAATATCTTTTAATGGATAAATGAAGAAACTGTGACATATACAGATAAGAGAATATTACCCAGCAATGAAAAAAGAACAAATTACTGACACATGCAACAACTTGGATGAATATCAAAGACCTTACAATGAGTTAAATAAGCCAATATCAAAAAGTTACATGCTAGGCCGGCGCCGCGGCTCACTAGGCTAATCCTCCGCCTAGCGGCGCCGGCACACCGGGTTCTAGTCCCGGTCGGGGCGCCGGATTCTGTCCCGGTTGCCCCTCTTCCAGGCCAGCCCTCTGCTGTGGCCCGGGAGTGCAGTGGAGGATGGCCCAGGTGCTTGGGCCCTGCACCCCATGGGAGACCAGGAAAAGCACCTGGCTCCTGGCTCCTGCCATCGGATCGGTGCGATGCGCCGGCCGCAGCGCGCCGGCCGTGGCGGCCATTGGAGGGTGAACCAACGGCAAAGGAAGACCTTTCTCTCTGTCTCTCTCTCTCACTGTCCACTCTGCCTGTCAAAAAAAAAAAAAAAAAAAAAAAAAAAAAAAAAAAAAGTTACATGCTGTATGATTTTATTTATCTGACATTCACGAAAAGACTTAAGTGTCGTCATGGAAAGGAGTTGTTGATAGTAGAAAGAGGGAGGGGTGTGACTACAAGGGGATTGGGTGATGTTATTATTTGTTTCCTGATCACAGAGGTGGTAACTGGATTATATACATATGGGGGTACTTGAAAAAGTTCTATGAAAATAGAATTACAAGAAGTTTATTTTGTAGTAAAAAATAGAAAATCATGCATAACTTTTTCATAATATACATTTCTACAAACTTTCTGAAGGTCTTTCATATGTTAAAATTTATAGAACTATGCATCAAAACTTAGAAGTCAATTTTTCTGCATGTGATTTTAAAAAATAAAGGAAAAAATTTAGAGCTATTTTAAAATTAATTATAAAATTATATATTATATATAATATATATTATATATTATAAAATTAATACCCTCAAAGAGGTTATTTAGAACTTGTTGTTTGTCATGTAATTCCATAAAGAATACCACAGGCTTCAGTTTACAGTGTACTGTGGAATTCACAGAGAATAATATGAACATTTCCTAACTAAAATTTCAACTAAGAAATTGTTCTAAGGGAAAACAATGATCTTAGTGTCAAAAATACTCAGTAAACACCAATAACTTTTTTTTGTTTTAGTGATATTTCTCAAATTATAACTGCAGATAACATGCTGAACAAGGGTCTGCTAATTTTTTTAAGATAAGAAGCAGATTAGTTTTGCTAACACATTAATTTTGGGTTATAATAATTGTGAACTAGTAAGCAAAAAAGTTAAATGACCTGTAAATAGATCAAAAGTCACTCAGGTAATTTAAAACAAAGATAAATATTATATTTTAAAATATTTTTAATGAAGATATCAGACTACAAACCATGGCATTAGCTTACATCACAGTGATAATGCATTAGAATCAGATAAATGTATTCCTTCTGTAGCAATAAGAAAGTATTCATTATTAACTTATTCTACAACATTTAAGTAAATAATCCAATATAAAAATAGCCTTTTGAAAAAACATCCTTGAATGTTTCTTAAAGAGATAGAGTTTTTAAAATATGTGTCCTAAATGTACCCTAAATGCAACATTCAAGCTAGGGAAATGATGAATGCTATACATTCAACATAAACAGGCCAAGTTTAAGAATTACTTAGCTGTAGTTATTTCTTTAAACATACAGATTTTCAGTCTGGCTATGATAATCCTGACCTTACAGGGAGGATACAGGAGGTCAGCCAGTCTCTGAGGGGGATCAGACCTTTAGTGGCTTCCAGATGGCTTCTGCATTAAATCCAGTCAACACCGAAATTCCAGTGGTGACACAAGTCTGCATGTTCTGGATTTCCTTCATATTTTATGGAACATTGGTCCCACAGTAGCTATAATATCTGCATAGGGAGCACTCTGGCTCAGTTCAATAGCCCGCTGTTTTTTTAGGACAAGAAAGCCATAAAATTTGGCAGCTGCTTGTTTTCGGTTACTATTTCTGCAGAACTTCATCAGACTAAAGGACTGCATTCCCATCTTATTGTATTCCTGGGAAAATAATTTTAAAAAAAGGAAAAAAGAACAAGACCATCAGAAATAAAGCAGACAGTAGATGTATGATGAACAACAAAATATTGACACTTTTAATAAATGATTATGAAATCTTTAGATGGAGAAATGCAAATGATTCTTTAGAAATTTTACAGAAACAATATAGGTCATTGAACACAAGCTTGGTTCATTGAGAAAATGCATGCAAAGACCTCTAAAGTTTTATACAAATATATAATGTGTTTTACAAATGTTACATCCTTTCAAAGTCTGTGTTAACATACATTTCTTTGGTGGGAAGTGCGAATAGTTTAGATTTGCAGGGAGGAAAAAAAATGCACAGGACTTTGGGAAGCTTCAAAAGCAATAAAAATGACCAACCTATCAGGGGTTTGGGCGTGACTATAAACAATTCCAGTGGTAAATGTTGAAGCACATTTACATGTTTCAGTAGCAGGAGATTATAGTATATAAACTCCTCCCAGTTTCTTTGTACAGATTAAAAAGACATTGGATTCACCATATGTCACCTGCATACCCTCTAGAAATGACTGAGGTATGCTAGAGTACTTAGCACTGGATGAGGTTAACTCCTTTCATAAATAGGATTTGAAATCGAATTCTTACAGAAGCAGAGTGCTTTAGTTAGAAACAGTGTAGTGATTACTGGGCAGTATCTCCTTGGAGAGTCATGAGACATTTCTGGAAATACTGTATAGAAGTTTTTGTCAATCCATAACATTGCACAAATTAATGTTAAATACTTTATTGTACATATCTCAACCAAAGGTTGAATGCTTTTATGTATTTATTTCTGGGGTCAGCAATCTTTCCTAGATGCTATAGCCACACCTCCATTTAGTCCCTTCCTTGAGACAAGACACAGATTTGCCTGAGGGACAGCAGAGAGAGCTTTTTCATGAATTCTCTTGAAGAATGATAAGGGGACAAGAATGTAACATTCAACCTAAGTTCTTATTTTTGTTCCCTTAAGAAACCCCTCTGAAATGAAGTTATAGAAATAAAAAGTAACACAGGAAGGAGATAAAGAAACTGGAAGATGTAATGGACATAGCTGAGTTGAGAAAGCTGAAACCTAAGATCCAGCAGAAAGGAAAGCCAACAGAAAGCCCATGATTTTGAGATACAGAACTCTGGAAAGTTCAGGATTGGAGGTATCACTCTGTCTGCATGAGAGCAGTCAGATCCTCTGTCTACTCCATCACCTCAGAGAGCCAGAGACAACTATTCACAGCAGGAGGCAAGAAGGAGATTCCACCCAGTGAGGCTCTGGACTTGGGACATGGGCACTGTGGATGGTGAGAAGTGTCCTACCACAAACGGCTGTTAGTGAAATTCCACACTGTCAACAATGAGACAAGCAGCCTCTTCCCTGCCTCCTTTTGGCTCCTGAACCACTGGTATCATGTTCAAATTGCCCAGGAATCCCTCGGATTCCTCTGAGAAAATTGACCATTCTAAGGATAAAAACTTTTTGGTAACACATCTGGAAATAGGTGGGGGGGTGGGGAGGAACACCACCCAATGACCAGAAGTCTATCAGCCCCAATCATGCATATATAATCCTTTATTTTTGGCATCCCACTCTTAAGTAAAAATACTATAACCAAGGGTCCACTAGACATTTGAGTAAAATGTCTAACATTGTACAGCAAACAAAAAAAAAAAATCAAGGAAAGAAGGAAGGGAACAGAAGAAAATGATAACCTCCTAACAATGATAAGATTGCTGGTGCAGGAAGGCAGAGAGTGATCCCCTGGGGTTGGTGGAAGTAGTGGAAGGAACATGTCAAAGGCTTGTCAAATGGCACAGGGAACCTTCTGGGTTTTAGATTTGTTCACCATGTTGAATGTGATAGTTCCACCGGGTATGCATTTGTCAAAACTTAACCTAATTGTTAAGTTTATATACTTTATATAGCATTTATTGTATATTAATCATACCTCAATAAAGCTGCTTTTTAAAAACCTAACAAAATAAATAATTATATATAAGTATTAAAATAGGGGCCAGCGCTGTGGCATAGTGGGTAAAGCCACCACCTACAGTGCCAACATCCCATGTGGGAACTGGTTTGTGTCCCAGCTGCTCCACTTCTGATCCAGCTACCTGCTCAGCTGCCCGGGAAAGCAGCAGAGGATGGCCCAAGTGCTTGGTCCCCTACACCCACGTGGGAGATCTGGAAGAAGCTCCCAGCTCCTGGCATTGGATTTTCCCAGTTCCAACTGTTGCAGCCATTTGAGGAGTAAAGCAGGGGATGGAAGATCTCATTCTCTGTCTGTCTGTCTCTCTCTCTGTAACTCTACCTTTCAAATAAATAAGTGAATAAATCTTTTAAAAAAATTAAAGAAGCAATTCAGGACACTCAATATCTGACCTACAGGCCCTCTCCAAAGAGAGAACAGGTAAGCAGGGAGGAAGTCCAAAAATTTCCCAGAACTTAATAAAATGACATTTCTGAATTAAAAAAACCACTACACATTCAGTTCAGTAAGTGAAGGGAATAAAAAAATCCAAAGTACACCATCACAGAATTTCAGAGCATGAAGGATAAAGAGACGATCTAAAGCTTACAGGGAGAATAAAGGTCACCTACAAAGGATCGTGAACCAAGGCAGCATCCGAGCTTTCAATAACACAAGAGTCCTAGAAATGTTATGAAGCCTTCAACAGCCAAGAGAAACCATTTTCAACCTATGTCGAGAGACAGCTTATCAAATCAAGGGTAAAATAAAGACGTTCCTTGGCTTATTTGCTAATCTTTATCCCCTATGCACTCCATTTCAGGAAATCTGGAGAAGCCATTAACCACCAAAAAAAAAAAAAAAAAAAAAAAAAAAAAGAAAAGATGAAGGAAGACCAAAGCATCAACAAACAGAGGAACCAATACAAGAAAGACAGAGATTCTCATGTTTACAACAAAGGCAGGTCCCAGCACAAAAACTGTGGTTTAGCCCCCCAGAACAATTTGAATTGGAACAAGAGGGTGATGTTCTCCAGGAGGGGTTCATCAAGAGAAAAATGGAACTGATGGATCAGTGGACATATTTACCACACCAAAGGGGTTTTATTATATTGTCAGAGTTCGGAAAACTAACTAAGGGTAGGTGTGTGTATGTATATATATATATATATATATATATATATACACACATACACTAACATTAAGCAAATAAAAAAAAATGAGGTAATGACTTAAGCTGCAATAATAAAGTTGACAAGCAAGGTAACCATGAAGCACTATGAAGCTTCAACATGAACTAATTTTTTGATAGTCTGTAGTGACAGCCAGTGTCCTTTAACATCTACTCTCCCCTTCTTGCATGGTAGTGGAATTTTTAGTGGGACCTACGGCCATCATATAAGGACTTTCCCAACTAGATTTGTCATTGTGACTAAGTAAATGCTGGTCAATGAAATGTGAAAAGTTGTAGAGTCAAAATCAAAATGGAGTGAGTGTGGCTAAAAGCTAATTGCAGATTTCTTGCTTCTGTATTAGCTTTGCTTGCTAACAGCTAAGGGTATATCTTGTGAAACTATGTGGGCTCAAATTCCAAGGAAATGAGAAAAGACCAACCCAAGTGTTCTGCCTAAGTTGACAGAATTGGGCCCTGTACCTGTTTTCTTACAACCATATCTTGGGTTTGTTATTGTTCCTGGGTTTGGTATTGTTAGCTGTTATCTTACAACCATATTCTGAGCTTTTTATTGTTCACTGCATACCAGAGGTTTGAAATTGTGACCCCTAGTGGACAGAATACTATAAAAAGCTGTGTATCTTGCTGTTGGACACACTCTGGTAAGGAGTGTTGGTCCCAACCGGTTGCCTTGCTTCTCTTCTCAATAAAATTCATGTGTGACTGTTACTGGTTTTTGTAATATTCTATTTTAGCTGATGAGTAGATGCAACAAAGTGACACAATTTCTGGGTTGGATCCTTAATGGAAACTTTGTTGTTGATTCAAATACACATATGGTAGGGAGTCTGCCATTCCTGATCTTGAAAATGAGGGGAAAAAAGACAAAAGGCACCTGAGTCCCTGACAACTCCGTAACCATAGCTGCCATTCTGGATTGGATTTATCCCTGAGAGAGAAATAAACTCCTGTGTCTTTCGAGCCGCTGATATTTTGACTTCCCGTTACCCTCAATCTTCATCTTAAATGTCACAATTATAACATTGTAAACACTGAATACTAAGCTGAAAGTATACTGGAGTGGGGAATATAAATTTTCATTCTCTGTCAAAAGAAGTCACTAGATAAAAAGCTGACATATCAAGAATGAGTAGTAAATACATGCCAATTAGAAGAATGACTAAAAGAAGAGTTTAATTCAGTTGCTTCTGAGAGCAAGATTTATGGATAAGAAAAGGTAAGACTAAGTTTTATAGCACAGTATTATCTAAATTTTTAAAATTATAAACATGCATTATTTTGATAAAACATAAAATTTAAAACTACCCAAGTCACCACTCAAACTGTTAAAAGCTTAATTCAATAATTAGAATTAGTTGATAGCTTCCTAAAAAAATTAAGAATAGGCCTGAGAATAGATGTCTAGGCATATAAGCATTGGTTAAAAGTTGATTTGAATATACACACAACAAAACTAAACTCCTATATTTAGTCCTGGGTATATAATTCAAAATCATCTCAGTCTAGAGAAATTTGGCTCACAAAACATAAGACAAATAGTTTTGTTTTCATAAATATTTAGATGATTGAACTCAACATTTTATTTATTTGTAATAAAAATATGGTTAACAAACCCTCTGCCTTACCCGTAAACTATTTAACATCTGAAGCATTCTTCGATTCCATCTCTCTGTATCAACACTTTGTTCATTCCCTGAAGAGTCCTGTTTGAATGGTTGACAAAATATTTAAGTAAAATTTACTGAATGCTTACTATTTGCCAAGCATAGTGTTAAATGTTATAAGAAAATTGACTATAATGCTGGGTCCTGTAAAATAAAGTGCTCATAGCCTGATAAATGAAAAAATAAGACTAACATAGATTAACTTTTGCAGGATTATACCTATACTCCCAGGTGGTCTTCTAAGAAAGGACTCCAAAGTAGAAGATTCTGCAGTCTCTATTGGTAATGCGTCCCAGGGCATTGTGCCCTTAGTACTATGGAAAGTAAAGTTGGCAAAGACAGCCTCTTGCAGCTAGGACTATCCTACTTCTGGTGAGTCTAAACTCAGCTGACAGGAGCAAGTATAAAGCTATAGAAAAATTGCCTCATCAACCCCTGTATCTGAACTTTCCTGGTGATATAGAAGCTCTAAAAATAACTGGTGTTTAGTAGTTTGTCTACAATTGTGTTAGAAACCTTTCAGAAAAAGAGCCTGTCATGTTATCTCAAAAGATTCATTCTCTTGTCTTTAAAGTTTTACTTTTCAGAAATACCTCAATATTTTGAAAGTGTAAAGCTGAAACCCCTTTGCAAGAACTCTAGTTCCTTACCACCTAATACCTTATTAGCTGAGAACAGAAACTGGACATAGGAAAGGTGTTGATGAATCTGATAAAAGAGCAGGCCTACAAAGGGTTGGGGAAAGGAGAGTGACGCAAGTCTGACCTACTTTATCATTTTTTCTAGGCTAGCTCTGCCATGCAGCCTAACAGCATATCTGCCACCCTTATCACATGCCCACTGTTTTTCTGGCCCACACGGATAGTTCTGGAGCCCACACACTTCCTACAAGTGCTTTCAATTTCATGGAAACCAAGATGAGTTCAGAAAGCTCCAGAAGATTCTCAATGGCATTTAAAATCATTTGAGGCTAAGGGATTCTGATCTGTCCAGGAACTGCTGGATTCCCATTCCCACCAGCTATACCTGCTTCCTGATCTTGCATATGTTGTATCTTATGTCCAAAAGCAGCTGATTTGAAAACATATTCAGTTATTGAGAAGAGTTCTTCAAATCCCTCCAGCTACAGTATGTTTATCCATTTCTGGTCTGAACTTGGATAAATGGGTTTACCCACTTACAAAAATGTTTATTTTATTATTAAATACACAAATGATATTTTTGAAATGTAAAAACCTCTTTGTTAAAGGTCCATGAGATGAGGCAAGTGCTGTGGCATAGAGGGTTAAGCCTTCACCTGCAGTGTTGGCATTCCATATGGGCACTGCTTCCAGTCCCCACTGCTCCGTTTCCAATCCTGCTCCCTGCTAACGTGCCTGGGAAGGCAGCAGAAGATGACCCAAGCACTGGGGCCCCTGCATCCATGTGGGAGACACAGGGTGGAAGGTGTGTGGGGGTGGGCTTCTGATTCCTTGCTTTGGCCTGGCCCAGCCCCAGCCTTAGTGACCATTTGAAGAGTGAACCAGCAGATGGAAGATTCTCTTTCTCTGTCTCTGTCTCTCTCTGTCTCTCTCTCTTTCTGCTTCTGGTTCTCCTTCTCTGTAACTCTGGTTTTCAAATAAATGAATAAATATTAAAAAAACAATCCATGAGACTTCAGCAATACCATACAACTAAACCAGAACAAAGCTCAGAAGAAATAGTCTCTGCCTATTGCTAAAGCCTGTTCACTTGATCTATCTGGAAACTGTACAAGTGAATCTATTGTGTGGAAAGCCCAGTGGATTACTAAAACAGCTGAACTTGTACTGTGTTGTTTGCTTGACCATGTATGAAAACAATCTGTATCTACGGAAGCAAAGAGAATGGTGAAAATGAATCAATCTGCCTCTGGCTCAGTGGCTTGGATGTTTCAAGTAGAAAGTTCAAATTCTTTATTCTGTCCTAGATTATCCAGAAAATTTGGCATGTTTTCTATGTCTGAAAAAATAATTGAATAGTCTTGGAACTCATTATAAAAATAATTTATTTAAAATCAAATTGACACCAGGCATTAAGAGATGTTTTGATATTAGTTACTGAAAAAGTTATACTAAAATTCCTTACAATCCAAAAAATGCCTTCTGTACTCTGGGCCAAGGACCAGAGAAATAAGGTAGTAACACAGAGGTAGTCAGGTGATCCAGATTTTACTTCTGATTTTTACTATCCATTTTTTGGCCTGCTGAGTAGACCGTTTTCTTTTTCTGGTTTCCAGATGTCTTATACATATATAGGCTTTGAGAAAAATGTCATAAAAAGTGCCCATACTTTTTTTTTTGTAAATGAAATAAAATAGAATTTCAAATACCCTAAACCTATGTTTCTCTAGAGATTTTTTATTTTTATTTTTATTTTTTGACAGGCAGAGTGGACAGTGAGAGAGAGAGACAGACAGAGAGAAAGGTCTTCCTTTACTGTTGGTTCACCCTCCAATGGCTGCTGCAGCCGGCGCACCACGCTGATCCGAAGGCAGGAGCCAGGTGCTCCTCCTGGTCTCCCATGTGGGTGCAGGGCCCAAGGACTTGGGCCATCCTCCACTGCCCTCCTGGGCCACAGCAGAGAGCTGGACTGGAAGAGGAGCAACTGGGACAGAATCTGGCACCCCAACCAGGACTAGAACCCGGGGTGCCGTCGCCGCAGCGGAGGATTAGCCTATTGAGCCGCGGCGTTGGCCCTCTAGAGATGTTTTAAGAGTAAATTAAAACAGTGATTCACAACATTTTAAAACCTTTCATTACCTTTGATGAACATAAAATTCAACATTGTCTTTTAAAATTGTTTCCAAAGAAAGAAGGAAAGAAAAAGTGGCAATTCTGTATGCTTTGTTAAACATCTTTACTGTGATCACAATTTAAATGATAAATTTAAAATGTCACACAACAACTCTAAAAACCACTTTGTAGGTCTATAAGACCTTATTTAGGAACAAAGTTTTTTTAAGAACATTCCCAAGACTACACATATATTTACCAATTCAACCGGACAATTTTCAATTTCCTGTGCCGTGAAAGCATTCATCAAAGATGATTCTTCAGCAGTTGACGAAACCATTTCAACAATATCCTGTTAAAGCAAATTAGAAGGAAGATAAGTAATTTTGCTAGTGGTTATCAGAGGTAATCCAATTTTGCTAATTCAATTCTCAAGCTACTTAAAATTATTAAAATTATACCACATGTTCTAAGATTATTTTGGAAATATCCCAATAGGCAGTCCCTGACTTAAATTTTCCTGTTTTACATATGCTCCCACAAATGAGGAACTTGCAAGCCTGTCCCTCCTTGCTTCCCACTGTTTTCCTTCCTGCTCTCTCCACAGCAGGCCTTGTAGCAAGTCTCCAACACTGTGCTGCTGAGACTGCTTTCCTTTGAAGCATTTTATCTAGCCCCAGCTCCCTGCCTCTAGTCTCATGCCAGCAGCAGGTGGCAGAGGGAAAAGCTCTGCAATGGGTAAGCAGAGGGAGTGAGAATGAGGGAAGGGATATTAATATCTGTACACAGGACCATGACAGCATTCTTGCTACCACTGCCAGAGCTGTCACCAGCAAAAGGGAAGAAAAAACTAGGCTCTATAGATGGGAAGACATAAAAGAAAATGGAAAAAGAGAAAGCCAGAAATACTCCATTCCCCATAATTTCTGCCCCTTTACGTTGCTGTAAAAGCCATCATCCCTTTTCTTCTTCAATCTTTCTCTAAGCTTCATTCCCCAGCTGTTATCCCTGATCTTTTTTCTATAGAGCATCTTTTGAAAATTTATTTATTTATTTGAAACACTTATTTACAGAAAGAGAGAGAGAGAGAATCTTCCATCTGCTGATTCACCCCCAAAATGGCCACAGCAGCCAAGGCTGGGACAAGCTGAAGCCAGGAGCTAGAGCTTCCTCTGAGTCTCCCACGTGGTGCAGGGGCCCAAGAACTTGGGACTTGGGCCATCTTCCACTGCTTTTCCAGGCCATTAGAAAGGAGCTGGATCAGAAATGGAGCAGCCAGGTCTCAAACTGCTGCCCATTTGGGATGCCAGTGTCCTAGGCTCTGGCTTTACCTACTAGGCCACAGCACCAGCCCTTATTCTTGATCTTAAGAGCTTCTTCTAAAATAGTTTGATTTTTCACTTCAGCTTTTAAAAAGTGTGGTAATATGATAAGTGATATCTTATTCTTTAATAAACATTAATTATAGAACCTTATGATTTTTCTCTTTTAGTTTCTATGAATAGTGTATATTTTACTTTCAATTTTGCAGTTACTGTATATAGAATTATTTCATGAAGATTATAAAATGATTATTCAGAATCAATATTTTCTGTCTCTTCAAACTTATGGGTACCCCCAAATTTGACAATATTTCACATTTGTTCACCACGTTTGAAAGCAAAATATGAATGCATTTGAAGGTTAAAGTACACCATAGGGTACAGGAGTAAAGATTCAAGAGAACAGGTATATCCATCTCTTGCTACTTAAGCACATGGGAAAAATATATTTTGTTAATGAATCTACAATAATTGCAGTAATAGTTCTCTTCCAATGAACCAGAAGCTAGATAAGTTTGTATAGTTATAATTTTCAGTAGGTATACTCTAAGAAATGTTCAAACCCAAGTAAGGAAGAGAATAGTACATGCATCCAAATAGTTCAATACCTAGCATATTATCAAATATTTAATAAAACACATTCTGTGAAATTGTCTTTTTTTCCAAGGGCATTCAGTTTCAGTGTGCGTTAGCTTTGAATTCCCAGAGTGATTACCCAAATACAATAATGATGTAATAGACCAGAAAAGCAGTGGTTCATTTTTATGGTACAGCTATAATATTTACACTTGAATGTAATAATGTGACAACTGAAAAAAATATTTTGAAGCAGATTGTTTCCAACTCTGTTTTCAAATAGTTATATTTTTCAAGTAAAAATTATGCCTTCAAATAAAATTTTTTAAAAAATTTTGTTTTGGTCACTGGTCCTTGGATAGTCTTTCAGATTCAAGGCCGAAGTAATTGGTGGGTCTAAACCATATTATTCTTAGAGTTAAGGAGGATAAATTTATGAGAAACAAAACAGAGGTTTATTGGTTAAAGCCCTGAAAGATTCCATGTCATATTGAATAAGGGGCCTAGTAGGTTTCTCAGTATATAACTGGACTCAGGTATGGATAATTGTTCATTTAATGCATGATGTGAAATACTGTTTTAGTATGATCCCACCTTATGTCATGATTTACTATCACCAAATTCTAGAGAATATTGTTATATAGAATAATATCATGCTTTATCCCATTGTGCTCTGCTTACTAAAGAAATTATAGAACAGAAGATGAAATATGAATTATAAATACAAAATATATACTGGAGTCCCAATATTCACAATACTAAATGTGTCAGAAAAAATAATTTTATGATTTTCTCCTGTTAACTCACCTCAGAGTTCATATTTTTACTGATATCCTCATGAAAGCTACACTTAGATCCATTAATCACATCCTTCCAAGTTCGGGATTGACGTAACTCTGGCTGGGAATCTGGGTCTTCCATCATGGAGGTCTCTGAATTATCAAAGAAGCAAAGAAGATTTCACCAAAATATCTTTCAAACTTGAACTGGGATATGGTTATTAGAAAAACAGGGTGTTTGACAGACAAGTTGGAATCCAAGAATTTAAGCAAAGGGTGCACAAACTTTCTTAAAGCTCCCCAAGTCTCACATATTCATCTTTACTTTTGGTCTTCTGTCTCTTTTTCACCTCCACTTCCCATCCTCTGCCAACTGTCTTCTCCTCCACACCCACTCTCACACATTTCACTATCAAGACAAAATGCTTAGTTCCAGCCCATCTTGGTATTATTGTTCAGTTGATTTTAATGTCTTCAGGAAGCTGATCAAGAAGTGAAAGCCCACTAACTACATGTCAGTTTTATTATTACTTTATGATTGTCACAGTAATGATCAATGATTATTAATACTCCATGTGTCCTCTGGGTAGATGGAGATACCTCTGTCTCAGGTTAACTGTATTTTTTTTCATTGGTTTATGCAACTTTATTGAAGAAAAATAAATCAATTACTAACAGAGCTATTAGTTGATCACTCATCCATTGACAACTTGCATCATTTATTCAGTGCTATATTAAACAGTATATTGAAAGATAGATTAACTAATAGCTCCAGGCCTCCTAACAATTTAAATGAAAATTACAAAATGATTGAGACCCTATTTTGGAATACAAAGGGTGTTTGACTTTCAATTTCCATTCTCTGTAGAACAAGAACAGGTCATTCCTTTACTGACATGCATAAAATACATCACATTTTCTGTTCTGCTGATGCTATAAATTCAATACCAATTCTCCAGCCACCTCAGTTATGAGCATAAAGTATATCATGTAACCTCAAATCTCTAACAGTGGAAGGTTTAAACAAGAATGGATGCTGCTAGAATAATGCTGCTTCCTTTGATGTGACAACTGAGCATCCATCTCCCTCCCTCTCAGATGATTTCTTCAGTATGTTAGAGCAGTGAGGAATGGTTTTAGTCTCATAACCAAGTTAGAGTGAAGACATTGGCCACATAATACACATGCTCCATTTTTAAAAAAAAATTCTGAACCTTGGGCAACTGTTTTCTTGTAACTACTTTACAGTTTCTAAAAGCAGTTATTGTCCAAAGCTGGAAGAACTTAAGTCTTCTCAGATGAGCATGTGAATGAATGGAGGGAGGTAAACAAAAAATAAAATTAAAAAAGATGAGGTCTGATAGGGGAGCAGCTGGATAAGAAAATCAAAAAAGGAACAGTAATTTAAAGTTTATTCCAGCTATAATGCAGGTTATTCTGACTTTAAGGTAGCATCACATGGCATACTTCTAAGTCTATTCCTAAGATATTCTGTTGTACTTATCTCTGTCTGTTTTATAGATCCGTGCAATCTCTGGCACTAGCGGGTCATCTGGGTTTGGATCACATAGCAGTGAACAAATGGATAAAAGAACTTTAGAAATACTTAAAGCAAGAGACCACTGTGATCTCAGAATATCGAGACAAATGCTGCCATTACTGTTAATATTTGGATGATAAACTCTTGTTGTAAATGCAGCCTTAGGTGGTTTGAAGGGATAGTCTGTAGGAAAATTAACTGTCAAAAAGAATACACCGCCTTGATATGGGCTGTCATTAGGTCCCATAATTGCGGCTTGCCAGTGAAACATATCATCCCCAACTGGACCTGCAGAACATTGTGCTGGAGGGTCACGGGCCAAATCACTAAGTTCCTTATTAATCCGTTTCAGCGCCATAGTCTGTGCTTTTAGTCTGGCTCCGCTCTCCCTCTCTCGGTGTATGCTCAGAGGTCCGGCCAAAACTCTTGATTATCCGGGCGGCAGGGAATGTTGTCTCTTGGTCTCACGCCAGCTCTGCCAGACACAGGCGCTTGGTATGGAGGTGGCAGGTCTCATGAGAATGACGTGGATGGCTGGGGTTAACTGTATTGTATAAGTGATGTTCTTATTCCTCTGGTATTTTTCATGCTAGGTGTTTTAAAATGAGACATTAGCTTACTTGATACAAAAATTTCCTTTTTTTGAGAATTTATGAGTGCTGCCTTTGGAGAAAGAGTAGGTGGGAAAGAGAACAAGAATGATTCATGTATATAAAATTTTTAAAATGAAATCTCTAGGACAAAAACTAATCTGAAAAGTAGAAACATGTAATACTGAAGTAATAATTTCTTTTCAGTTCAAATATCTTTCTAGAGATAGCATTATACTCGAATAGGGGTGAGGAAACTTCTGCCAAGATTCAACTGGATATTGATAACATCATTCGTGGGCCATACAAAATTGTCAACTTAAAAATTATCCTGCTATGAATTTATTGAATTTTGAGTCATGCCTTTAGTTGCCTTGATAGGGCCAGACCAAATGATTCTATGGGCTGGATGTTCCCCAACCCTGGAAAGAATGAACTCCCATCTTCATTTTGAAATGTAAAATAAAATTTTTGTTTCCACAACCTTCCCCTCAATATCAAGAGATTAGGAAGTCTTACCTACTATCTTTTGGCTTCCTACTTCTTTCCTTACTGACTCTTTCTGCATCAATTTTCTCCCAAGTTTCAAATCAGAAGACAAAAAGCACCTTGTGAACAACTGGAAAAATATATACATTTTGTTTCTTGGTTTCTAATAAAAGAATTCAAGTAATTGAATAAAATAAGGCAAGCACAAATGCTGAAAAGTAAAAACTATAATCCAATATGCATATCCAGGAATTTAATTAAAAATGAGAAACTATTTTTCCCAAGTTTAAATATATGTAAATATATGTGTATATATGTAAATATGTATTTATTTATTTATAACCAAACACCACACTCATGCAGAAGGATGGAAACTGTTACCATTTTCAGTTCAGTATGAATCAAATCCTGGGCAGCAGTTGACAGAAGTGTGTCCACTCCTCCCCTCTTCTTCCACATCATTAATCTTTGGGTAGGAGGTGCAAGTTCCAAAACCATGAGCGTATCCACAAAGGAAGTAAGCTGTTTATGCATACTTTTGCTGCTGATCTCCTTGACAGGATCTATCAGCAATCTCCTCTTTTTGCCTTTCCTTTTCTCAGCAATATCTAAATGTGAGAAATAGACATAAATGTGATTGGTTCTACAACTCCTCAAAATATTCTAGGCACTGCATGCACATCCAAGAAATGTCTACCACAATACAAACTACAGAGTTGCATTGGGAAGAAAATCCTTTTTCTTTTTGTTTTATGAATTTTGTTTATACCTAGAATACTTGAGCAGTCAATAACTAATCTATTTTATGAGTGTTACTCAAAAGTGCTTAGGAGGGGCCGGCGCCGTAGCTCACTAGGCTAATCCTCTGCCCGTGGCGCCGGCACACCGGGTTCTAGTCCCGGTCAGGGCACTGGATTCTGTCCTGGTTGCTCCCCTTCCAGTCCAACTCTCTTGAGCCCTGCACCCACATGGGAGACCAGGAGAAGCACCTGGCTCCTGCCTTCGGATCAGTGCGGTGCGCCGGCGGCTATTGGAGGGTGAACCAACGGCAAAGGAAGACCTTTCTCTCTGTCTCTCTCTCTCTCACTGTCCACTCAGCCTGTCAAAAAAAAAAAAAAAAAAAAGTGCTTAGGAGGAACTCTATTGACCTGCTAAGTTGGCAAATGAGAAAATGTGGAGCAGAGTCTCTCTTGAGAAAAAAGTTACCCAATCAGGAGATTTCTTAAAATGCCTAGGATAACTTTCTTTGTATTTCTTATGTTTCTTGAGGATAACTTTCTAATATAGTAAGTTTTATTTATCAAGTGTATTTTCCCCACCCAGCAGCTAAATCCATGGGATTTCGTTCCTTTAAAGAATTTTAGCAGGCAGAAAGTAGAAGCCTTTCTTTAGTAAAGCTGCAAAGGGGGACAGAGGTCAGGTTTTTTGGAATTTGTGAAGATTTGAGATCAGATGGAACCAGAAGGAACAGGGACCTGTTTGCTGATCTGCATCAGTAAAATCCTAGGAATGTGACAAGATTCCAGAAGGGCTGGCTATGTGATGATCACAGAGGCTCTGCAGCCTGGGACAGCGGGCACCACAAACTGCTGTGTTCCTTTCCACTTCCCTCACCCTTCCTGTGAACTTTGGTGCCACACAGCTCAGGGTGAATGAGGGAATTATGCAGACTGAATTCCCTGTCAACCCAGTGAGATAGAGGCTCGGAGTTAATTCCATAAAGAAAAAAATTCAAAATATTTCATTCCCTGCATGCTTGAGTCTGTAAACTGAAACTCATATAAATTATACTACTTAAAACTAGGACGTTCCTAAAGGACCTAGTTAATTTTAAAATCCATTCTTATTGTTTATTCCTAAAAACATGCTTGAGGTACAATGTCAGAGGGCATAATGTCTCTTCTGATCCTTTTTATTTTGCCTTCTATTATTTTCACTTGAATGTTTACCTTCTTGATTAGACTGTAAATTTCCTGAAAGCAAGAACTGTTCTTTCACATTCCTGCACCTAACATCAACTAATGGCTCAATAACTTCTTAAAGTGAAAACAGTTTTATTTTTTTTCTAGTTTCTAAAACTAGATACATGGTTTGAACAGGACTGAATATAATGAAAGAATCATCTCAAATTTTATTCACACTATTATCCTATCATAATATAAATTCTATTACCAGATTGACTGCCTCTTATAGTATTTCATAAATTATTCAAATATCTCCAAATAAATTAGTAGTGTATCAAAAATAAAATAAAAACATTCATGAATGCCTCTGACCTGAAACATTGATTGGATCAAGGGTAAATCTTTCCTCTTCATTTGATAACCATATTGATTCATTCACTTTTTCATTTTCAGGTAGACATACTTGCTCTGTATCATCTGGTTTTATTAAGCAACATCACCAACAAAGTAATTATTAAAAAAAAAAACATGGTTACGTTACAAGCTAGAGGACTATATGGAAAAGTAAAAGATGAACTAACTGAAGATTCATATTGCATCTGTTTCTTTGACTCATATATTCAACAGAGATAAAAAGATTTAAGGTCTGGGACTCACAATATTCAGGTGCGTCAGTATTGTCATCCCCCTTTGCATATGCAACATCTAAGACTGGGCTATATAGTCACAGTGGAATTAAAACCAGTGGTAACAACTGCAATAAATACTGACATAAAAATTTTGTATTCTGTTAAATCACTCATCAGATGAATCATACAAATCATATCTAATGTTTTTATTGCCTAATTCTCATATTTTTAATTTATACTATTGAGTAATAAACCAAATATAACAATAAAAGTTATAAAGAAACAAAATGGGGCAATTATACTTTTAAGAAAAATCAGGCCAAAAGACTTCAAATCATCTGAGGTAGTCTCATTATCAATTTTAAGTAGGGAAAATATAACCCCACATTTGTACTGTCTCACATTGTATGAAGATTGTGAAAGCATACTAATTAATATTTTTTCTTACCATGTAGCATATATTTTAATGATTCAAAAGCAGTGTTTTGGCTGAGTACTTAAATGTGCTCTCATACTAAACCCACTCCTGCTTAAATGTCCTTCATTATACCTCTCAGAACCCAATTTCCTATTATGTATTGCAGAGAGTCAGACTAAAAACGTTTCAGGGACAATGTTCCTTATTATCTTTCACTATATTATACTGCTATTTGAACTCAGAAGTTCTGGTACTACTTAATTTGAACATCAGTATCTGTTCCCTTTGTGCACAAAGAAAAATTTCAACATACCCATTACAGTATTGGGAGGTTCAGGAGGCAGGGTAATTTCTCTGCTCAAGTGCGTGTCTTCTAACAGGATATTCTCATCATCTTGCAACAGATTATCTTGAAAAACGTAATAAATCTTTTTGTCACACAGATTTCATTCTATCATTTGTTCACTAACCATTTATTAACATTACGCAACATTGTGAAAGGATTACAGACTTTTAATGTGAGTCAGATAATTTTTTAAAGACCAATATGAATAGTCAATAAACAGTCTTTAAAATACATGAATTTGGATTTCCCAGTTTTTGTCTACCTTATTTTTAGAATTGTTTTAGAATAATATCATAATATAAATATAAAACAACAATATAAAATGCTGGAAAATTGTGGAATCACCGTCCCATATTTTTTTTTAATATTCATTAATTTATTTGAAAGGAAGAGCTATATGGGATGCTGGTGCCACAGACACTTACTTGCTGTGCCACAATGCTGGCTATCCTTGTCCCACAATTATGTTAAAGAAAACAATGTTTTCCCCCAGTATTATCCAGTATATTTTATGAGAAATATATTAATTTCACTATTTCTCCTCCACGAATTAGGGACTTATAAAAATAGAAACAGGCAGTATTTCCCAATCTCTAGGGAAAATGTGTTTAAACAGCTGGCTGTGTACTTAGGCCTAATCAAATATACCATACACTTTGAAAGCTTATGTTAAAAAATGTGTTGACCTACATGACACAGAACATATCTGAAAGTTTAGTACACTGTTAGAAAGTTACTAATACACAGTAGTAATGATTGTCATAAATATTTATTTCTGTATGACAGACAGCATACCAATCATTTCTCCCGCAGCTCCTTCATCTCCGAATGCATCGCCACTGTCATAGAACAGAGATTTTTCTCCAGTGGGGCTTCCAGAACTATGCTCAGCTACAGGGCCGCTGCAATTCAGTAATATGTTGTCATCAAAGAAACTATGTCTTCTGAGAATTTCAGGTTCATCACCTAAGTAAATGCACATCATTAACACTGTTAGTCATAGGAACACAGAATATTTTAAAGGAAATTCACATATTATCTGGTGCAACGTTCCCTCATTTTATGGATAAGGAAAGGAAAAGCTGAAAACGTATGTGAATTATTTAACTAAAGTCACTCAGTTAATTATTAGACTAAGATTTCTAGTCTAATACTCTTCCCAATACAACAGAAAAAAATTATAAAACATTAGCTAGTTTATAGTTGTGATATGGTTTAATGATTTCCTAGAAGATAGAATTGCTATGGCAGTGGGATGATTTCTTACTTTAGGTAGATCAAGTTCTGCTTGACTATTAATTCAAGGACAATTACTTGTACTATTTTTTTATCCATAATGGAAAGTTGGAATATAAGGAGCCTATCTGCATTCTTAGGAAATGAAAAGTTAGGAAAAATATTAAAGAATGGGCTTACAGCATTCATTCACAAATCCAGTCAGCTAACATTAGCTGAGTACTTATTATGTATATTTTATTACATAATAGAAGATGTTATTGTAGCCCTCATTTCCAGATGAGGAAATACATCCACAATGAAGTTTTGTAACTTCAACACTGTCACAGCCTTATAAATGACAACTCTCTCTGACTCTAAAGCCTGAATTCTAATAGTTACCACCACTACTGAAAGTTCCATGGGACCACAAGTCAGGTCCTGCATATTGTTTCCCTCGTGTGAATTTGACTCTCTAGGTCTGAAGTCTGAAACCCCCAAGGTCAGAGGCTGTTCTTCTTTGACCTCCCTCTAATAACTCATCTCAGCATTAGATAGTAAGAAAATCATGAGGTGTAACTCATACTGAAAATTCTTCTATAGACCCACATCTTCTAGAAGAGTTGGAAAAAGCAAACTTTATCATCCTTGATAGAAAAGATTTAGCCACTTTTCCAAAAGGAGCTAAGAACATGCTTCCATCATTCACATATGACTTGATAGCTCTCAAAGGAAAAATAAGCTTCACCAATCAGAGAATAACATTTGGCATAGGCAAAGACTTCTTAGAAAAGACCCCAGAAGCACAGGCAATAAAACATTTACAGACAATGTATTCTGAGCATTGAGCATCACAAAACAAGTAATTATTGTCTTTAATCTTCTAATATAGTCCAGAATAGGGTGGGTTAATATTAAACATTTCCTAAAGGACATTAGGTTTGAGGTAATATTTGAAAGAGAGAAAAACCATGTTGGTGGACAGAATTTTAGTGGGAATAAGGGAAAAAAACCCTAAGATGTTGCTAGTAGTATTCCAGCTTTACAGATAGAACAGTAAGACTCAGAGGTCATGCAATCTGCCCAATGACCTACAGCAAGTCAACAGATAAGGTTCTGGTTCAAACCTAGGTCTATTGGTCTACTAAGAATATTTCTTCCCAGTATTTTGAATTTTTATAGGAGACACAAAACTAAATTGTATCAGTTGGATAGTAAGACATTTGATTAGCGTAAGTTGTCTGTATTAAGGTAAAATAAAGTTAATAAAATAAAGAAGGTGATAAGTTGGTAGAGGACCTAAAGGACAGGCAAGGCATTTGGTAAATACACCACAGTGATCCAAAGAAACTAAGCAGAGGAATGAAATATGAGAAAAAAGAATTTAAAGACCATTCATTCTCAGAGATGTCTAAAATGTGCGAAGAGACTGGGAGAATGATTTATAGGAGGGCATTGCAGTACTCCAGGTCTTTGGTATTAGTGATCTATACTGGAGGCTGAAGAAATAGAGAAATATATAAGAGACATTTCAGAAAAAAAATATTTTAATATAAGCACTAGTATGACTAGTAAGAAGCTAATAGAAAGTGTAGTTGAAAGTGACCAAAAGAAAAAAGGCAAACAGGGACCAGCATTGTGGCGAAGCAGGTAAAGCCACCACCTACAACACTGGCATCTGATGTGGGTGCCAGTCGAGTCCCAGCTGTTTTACTTCCAATCCAGCTCCCTGCTAATGATCCTGGGAAAGAAGCAGAGTGCTTGGGCCACTGCACCCATGTGGAAGACATAGATGAAGCTCCTGACTCCTGACCTCTGGCCCAGGACTGTTTGTTGCAGCCATTTGGGGAGTGAACCAGCAGATGGAAGACCCCTCTCTGTCTCTCTGTATCTGTCTCTCTCTCTCTAACTCTGCCTTTCAAATAAATCCTTAAAAAGAAAGGAAGGAAGGAAGGAAGGAAGGAAGGAAGGAAGGAAAGAAGGGAGAAAAGAAAAGAAAAGAAAAAGGGGTGGTGCTGTGGCACAGATTAAGTCTCTGCCTGCAGCACCAGCATTCCATATGTGTGCCGATTCAAGTCGTGGCTACTCCATTTCTGATCCAGCTCCCTGCTGATGGCCTGGGAAAGCAGTGGAAGATGGCCCAAGTACTTGGGCCCCTGCACCTGTGTGGAAGACCTGGAAGCAGTCTTCTACTGCTTTCCTAGGCCATAGCTGAGAGCTGGATCAGAAGTGGAGTACTGGGACTTGAACCAGCACCCATATGAGATGCCAGCACTGCAGGCGGCGGCTTTACCTGCTATGCCACTGTGCCGACCCCCAAAAAATTTTTAACCCCCCCAAAAGGAAAGGGGATATGGAGCATTTTTTTCCCATGTTAATATTAAGGCATCAGATTCTTGGTAAATCACTATAATGAAGCAGCTATAATTAGATAACTACTCTTCATATTTTGAACCTAAGTACACTTCTTTAAGATTTATAATTATAATTAGAAAGCTTGTTATGATTTATATGCTAAAGAAAAAGCTGTCCAAGACTGGAATTCAGAATATCACATTAATATTTATATAGTTTTGATAACTCTATCAAAAGAGGATAATAGCTGTTAAAACTTTAGTGTAAGGTCACTTTAAAATTATATGAAACTAGGGGCTGGCACTGTGGTGTAGTAGGCTAAGCCTCCACCTGTGGCAGTGGCATCCCAAATGAGTGACAGTTAGTGTCTCAGCTGCTCCTCTTCCAATCCAGCTCTCTGCTATATCCTGGGAAAGCAGTAGAAGATAGACCAAGTGCTTGGATCCCTATACCCATGTGAGAGACCCAGAAGAAGCTCCTGGCTTCTGGCTTTGGATTGGCCCAGCTCTGGGCTCTTGCAGCCATTTGGGGAGTGAACCAGTAGATGGAAGACCTTTCTCTCTGTCTCTCCCTCTCTCCGTCTGTATCTCTACCTCTCAGATAAACAAATAAAATCTTTTTAAAAAATTGTATGAAACTCAAAGCCCATTAGTAAAATTATTAATAAAATCTCAAAGTAAATTGAGAATTTTAATGCTTATTTTTAAATCTTATCACATGCTCTGATGTATGTACATGTTTCTATGGCTTAAATAATTAATGTTATTACTTGATACATTTCTGTAGTGAATAATTAATGTTACTATTTCATTGTTATACCATATGTGCCCACTGAAATTTTTTTTAATTGCAAAATATTTCAGATATACAGAAAAAATAATATAAATGCCCTTATAACTCTTCACATACTATTTTGTTATATTTGCTTCTGATTTTAAAGAAATAAAATGTTACACTTTTGTACTAAAAGAGAAGGAAAGAAAGAAAGAAAGAAAAGAAAAGAGATCCTGAAGTTTTTGGCCTAAAAAAGAATACAGGGAACAGGGTAATTTGCAAAGCATGTTTTGGGTAGTAGGGAATAGGATGATCTGTTAGTGTGTTACATTTCTAGGTCTGGGTTTCAGCCAGGAAGAGAGCTGTGCTACTCACAGTAAGGTCTATGGGCTGGCTTAGTTCACAAGAAGGTAAATATGAAAATTAGAAGTGAATACTTAGAAAGTTTTATAGCAGGGGCTGGCTCTGTGGCATAGTGGGCTAAGCTTCTGCCTGTGGTGCCGGCATTCCATATGGGCTGGCTCATGTCCCGGCTGCTCCTCTTCCTATCAAGCTCTCTGCTGTAGTCTGGGAAAAGCAGTAAAAGATGGCCCAAGTGCTTGGGTTCCTACACCAGCGTGGGGAACCTGGAAGAGACTCCTGGCTTGGGATCAGCCTAGCTCTGGCGGTTGCTGTCATTTGGAGAGTGAACCAGCAGATGGGAGATCTTTCTCTCTGTCTCTCCCTCTCTCTGTCTATAACTCTACCTCTCAAATAAATAGATAAAAGCTTAGAAAAAAAGAAAGTTTTATAGCAATTTGATATAGTACTTTTATATACATTGGCTCTAATAACAACAATTTGAGGCATGTACTTTTATTTTCAAATTTTAAAATTTACTTTTATTGTATTTTATAAAAATTGACAGAAATTATAAAACCAGTCCTTCACCACAGGTTGTCTGAGAAACATAACTGCAGATTTTAAGAGTTATGGAAGTAGAGTGAGAATGAGAAGTTGAGGTTAAAGAAGTAGTTCAAGTGTTAATTCCTTTACCCCCCTTCCTAACCCAAAACAGATTTAGGGCATACTTCTCCTTCCATAGCCTTGGAAACTCATAACTGGTGCATAGGGAGATTACTGATGCCATAAACAGGAGTGTCAATTGGTAAAGTCAACAACAGGAGTCACTGTGCACTTACTCCTCATGTAGGATCTCTGTCCTTAACGTGCTGTACACTGAGGCTTAATGCTATAACGAGTACTCAAACAGTATATTTCACTTTGTGTTTCTATGGGGGTGCAAACGACTGAAATCTTTACTTAATGTACACTAAACTGATCTTCTGTAAAAAAAAAAAAAAAAAGAAAGAAAGAAATTATCAATTCCCAACTTGACTCTCACTGGGATAAACATGACAATAGGTCTGATCTGATTTCATCATCATTTAAAAAAAAATCATCTATTATTTTTCACTTTATGTTTCTGTGTGGGAGCAAACTGTTGAAATACTTACTTAAGGTATACTAAGCTGATCTTCTGTATATTAAGATAATCGAAAATGAATCTTGATGTGAATGGAAGGGGAGAGGGAGTGGGAAAGGGGAGGGTTGTGGGTGGGAGGGACGGTATGGGGGGGGAAGCCATTGTAACACATGAGTCGTACTTTGGAAATTTATATTCATTAAATAAAAGATTAAAAAAAAATAAAAAATAAAAAAAAAGAAATTCAAAGATGAACATGACACAGATTCTACTCTCATCAAGTTTGCAGACCAATGCAAAAGATGTATACATATCATAAAAGAAGAGAGGTAGATGCCAGAAAAAAGAACAAACACTACATAGTTAAATTGTATCATGTCACTTCAATTTCAAAATATATTCATCTCACCCAAGAAGATTCTAACATTTAAAAATTTTATTTATTTTATTTGGAGTGGCAGGAGAGGCGAGAGAGGAAGGGAGCGAGGGAGGGAGCGAGGGAGGGAGAGAGAGAGGGAGGGAGGGAAGGAGGGAGGGAAGGAGGGAGGGAGGGAGGAGGGAGGGAGAGAGAGAGACTCCGAACTGCTAGTTAACTCTCCAAATGCCCATAAGAGCCAGAGCTGGGAAGCAATTGAAGTTCCCCATTTGGGTGGCATGGACTCAACTACTTGGCCATCATCTGCTGCTTCACAGGGTTTGCATAACTAGGAAGCAGAAATCAGGAGTGTAGCTGGGACTTAAACCCAGGCACTCTGATATGGAATCTGGGCATCTCAAAGCATATCTTAACTGCCATGCTAGATGCCTGCCCTGATAATGCCATTTTAGTTCTTGTTCATTATATGTGATCTGTTATTATTCCTATTCAACATATTTCAGAATCTTTTACTTATCTATGACACAATACAATTTTATCATATGGCTTTATGTGGGTCTTCTTTTTTCTTTTTAATCTTCCTCCTCTTCTTGTTTTGATTTACTGATGGACCATTTGGAAGTTCATTTTCATCTGGAAAGACTCTGATATGGCATGTGGACATCCTAAGTGACATTCTTTTTTTTTTTTTTTTTTTTTTTTTTTTGACAGGCAGAGTGGACAGTGAGAGAGACAGAGAGAAAGGTCTTCCTTTTGCCGTTGGTTCACCCTCCAATGGCCGCCGTGGCTGGCGCGCTGCGGCCAGCCCACCGCGCTGATCCAATGTCAGGAGCCAGCTACTTATCCTGGTCTCCCATGGAGTGCAGGGCCCAAGCACTTGGGTCATCCTCCACTGCACTCCCTGGCCACAGCAGAGAGCTGGCCTGGAAGGGGGGCAACCGGGACAGAATCCGGCACCCCGACCGGGACTAGAACCCGGTGTGCTGGCGCCGCAAGGCAGAGGATTAGCCTAGTGAACCGCGGCGCCGGTCCTAAGTGGCATTCTAATTGTTGCACCGATGCCCACTCCCAGATTTTAACATTTAAAAAGTCAACTTCTGGGGCCAGCGTTGTGGCATAGTGGGTTGAGCTGCCACCTGTGTGGCATCCCATGTGGACACTTGTTTGTGTCCTGACTATTGCACTTCTGATTCAGCTCCCTGCTAGGTGCCTGGGAAAGCAGTAGAAGATGGCCCAAGTGGTTGGGTCCCTGCACTCACATGGGAGACCAGGATGAAGCTCCTGGCTCCTGGCTTCGGATTGGCCCAACTCAAGCCATTGAGGCCATATGGGGAGTGAACCAGCAGATTGAAGATCTCCCACTCTGTCTCTCCCTCTTTCTCTCTCTGTAAGTATGCCTTTCAAATAAATAAACATTTTAAAAATCAACTTCTGTTTCATAATTAATATGTATCTTTCGGTGGTAGTATTTTCTCCTCTTCACCCTCAAGCTGACTTAATATCTGTTATTTTGTAATTGGTATCATACATATGATATTTTGAAGGCATTTTATGAACATACATGTAAAACCTTGCATATATATACTTTTTTAACTATAGCGACTATTTACATGTCTCTCTCCCAGTCTGAAGTTCCTTGAGGGCAAAATTGCTCCTTTAAACTTTGGTGCTGCCTATGTCTTGATAGTATCTGACATACAGCAGGAATTCAACACAGAATTATATACTGAGAAGGAAAGTATAGCCTAACACTGATTCTTAGCATTGGCAGTTCTGCTAGAAAGAGACAAGGAAAAACTGATTGGGAGATTATACATTAAAAAATTGATTCTGTAGATATTTCTACTGGCATTATTTCAATATAAAATTAATTGATTATTTGTATATAACTTACTATATTTGAATTTTGATTATAAATTTTGATTTCTCAAATACTATTACCAAAGCTCTCAGCTTGGAAAAGTAGATCATTGCCATATTCTTCTCTAAGTGTAATTTCTTCAGGTTTACTTTGATTCTGAGTAAACTGTTCTGAAACATCAACAGCACTATGGAGAAATACAAGATTAAGGAAAACATGTGAGCAGAACACAATAATTTTGCAGTATAATGAAAAAAACCTAAAACAAAATCAGGTTTTATTATAAAAAATTATTTTCTCAATAGTATTATAAACATTAGTTTGACATACATATAGCCAAATACTTCTTGGTCCTAACCAACAGCATTTGAAATAGATGTTTGCTCTTGATACAGACTGAATGTTTCTACCCCCAAAGCTCATATGTTGAAATGTAAACACCAAGGGGCTGGCGCTGTGGCACAGTGGGTTAAAGTCCTGGCCTGAAGCACTGGCATCCCATATGGGCACCAGTTCTAGTTCTGGCTGCTCCTTTTCCAATCCAGCTCTCTATCATGGCCTGGGATAGCAGTAGAAGATGGCCCAAGTTCTTGGGCCCCTGTACCCATTTGGGAGATCCAGAAGAAGCTCCTGGCTCCTGGCTTCGGATCGGCGCAGCTCCGGCCGTTGCGGTCATCTAGGGAGTGAACCAGTGGATGGAAGATCTCTCTCTCTGCCTCTCTCTGCCTCTCTCTGTAACTGTCTTTCAAATGAATAAAATAGGTATTAAAAAAAAAAAAATGGGGCCGGCATGGTGGCGCTGTGGGTTAACGCCCTGGCCTGAAGCGCCGGCATCCCATGTGGGTGCTGGTTCAAGACCCGGCTGCTCCGCTTCCTGTCCAGCTCTCTGCTATGGCCCGGGAGGGCGGTGGAAGATGGCCCAAATCCTTGGGCCCCTGCACCCATGTGGAAGACCTGGAGGGGGCTCCTGGATCCTGGCTTCGGATTGGCACAGCTCCAGCTGTTGCAGCCAATTGGGGAGTGAACCATCGGATGGAAGACCTCTCTCTCTCTCTCTCTCTCTCTGCCTGTCCTCTCTCTGTGTAACTCTTTCAAACAAATAAATAAATAAATCATTTAGAAAAAGAAATGTAATCACCAAGGTGAAGGCATTAGGAGGCAAGACCTTTGGGAGGTGATTAGGTCATGAAGGTAGAGCCCTCATGAGTGAATTAGCGCCTGTATACAAGCAGCCCCAGTCTGTGGGGAGCAACCGAGACTAGACTAAATTACTGGAACTGCTAAGACTAATTCTATGCATCTGATCTCCCATCATATGGCGCTGAGAGAGTAAACAACTTCCACACAGCTGCCTCATCAATTCGACTAACAAGCTGCAGGAGCTGATCCTGCTCCTGATTGGAGGAGAGCAGCATGCTCAGCGCGTGGGGAGAGAACGCCAGGAGAGTTGGGATTGGCGGAAGAGGACTATAAAGGAGGAGAGAGACAACACGCACCAGGAACATCTGAGGAACATCTGAGCAACCCCTGAGAGAGCCGGCTGGCGGTGTGCCACTCCTCCGTGGAAACGGGGGAAGCGGCGGGGGTGCCGCCCCTTCGCGGAGGCGGGGGGCCGGCAGCTAATCCGGGGGGAAGCGGCAGCAAACCCAGGAAGGGCTAGGGAAAGAGAACAGCACAGGGTCCAGTGTCATTCCTCCGCGAGTAGGGGAGCAACACCGGTCAGAAAGCTGCTTTGTCCCTTCTTCTCTTCCTTCTTTTTTGTGAAATTTTTGTATTTATTTGAAAGTCAGAGAGAGAGAGAGAGAGAGAGAGAGAGAGAGAGAGAGAGAGAGATCGTCTACCCACTGGCCTACTTCCTAAATGGCCACAATGTCCAGGGATGGGCCAGGCCAAAGCCAAGAGCCAAGAGCTTCATCTGGGTCTCCAATATGGGTAGCAGGGACCCAAGTACTTGAGCCATCATCCTCTGATGCTTTTCCCATGCCATTATCAGGGAGCTGGATCAGAAGCAGACTATCTGGGACATGAACCAGTGCCGATACAGGATACTCCACAATGCTGGTCTCTGCTTTGCCCTTTCTACCTTGTAGGGACATGGTGATAAGATTGCTATCTATGACCCAGGAAGGAGGCCCTCTCCAGACACCGAATCTGCTAGCAGTTGGATCTTCAACTACTCAGACTCTAGAACTGTGAAAATAAGTTTCTATTGTTCACAAGCTACCTACTTTTTAGTATATTGTTATAGGAGCCCAAACAGACTAAGACAACTCCTTCATGGAACATAATCATCTCTTGGCTTCTGAGACACCACTGTCTTGATTTTCTTTCCACCTGCTCATTTTTGACTCCTTTGCTATTTTTTTCTCATATCCAAGACTACTAACCACCTCCCTTCTGAACCTCAGACCAAGATATTCAATCACCTACCTACTTCATGTTGATGTTGTCTTAGTCCATTAAGGCTGCTGAAACACCTTAGACTGTGTAATTTATAAAAATAAAAAATTTATTGCTCACAATTCTGAATGATAGGAAGCCTTAAATCAAGGCACCAGCAGATTTCATACCTGGTTAGAGCTTCACGTTGTAGAAGGGGCTAGGAGGCTTTTTCAGGCCTCTTTTAAATGGTACTAACTTCACTCAGGAGGGGGTTCTGCCTTCATGATCTAATTACTTCCCAAAGTTCCCACCTTGGGGGAGGTTTCAATATATGAATTTTAGGGGAAAACATACATTAAGATCATAGTACATGTGTAACTGTCATCTTAAAACATGTCCAAAACCTTCCTTCTCTTTGTCTCAGCCCCTCTTAAACTTCTCATTCCCTAGCTATTCTAATCTCATTATATAGTTACTTTATTCTGTAGCCAAAATCATAATACACTTCTTTCTCTTAGAGCCATGTCTAATTTGTTAGCAAATTCTGTTGGCTCTGCCTTCCAGAGAAATCCATAATTTGACTGCTGCTACCTTGGTAAACCGAAGACTGAGAACTGATCACAGATACTATCTTTTCTCATTTGTCCTTTTACTGCATTAATCTTGTCATAGGCTCTCTGCTTCCTCCCTTTCCTTCTGACAGTGAGTAGCCAGAGGGAGCATGTTGAAATCAAGTCAGACTGCTCACTCCTTGATTTGAAACCCTCTTGTACTTCTCGTTTGAGTAAAATGAAAATCCTACTGTAGCCTACCATACCCTACATCTGCACTCCTAGCTGCCTCTCTTATCTCATCTCCTACAATTCAGCAGGTCATTTACATCACTCCAGTCTCATTTGCCTTCTCGCTGTTCCTTGAAAACGTCCAATGTGCTCTACCGTAGGGTAGGGACTTACCACTGGCTTTACCTGGAATGTTTTTCCCCCACATTACTGAATGATTTCTGCCTTCACCTCCTTCGGGTTTCTGTTCTTACTCCATCAGAAAAGCCTTTCCTGCCCATTGTTTTATGTATTTAATTTTTTATTTCTCTTTATAATTCTGATCATCACTTGGAATATCATGCTTGCTCATTTATTTATCATCTGTCTACCACAACTACAGTGTAAGAGTCATGAGGCCAGGAGCTGTGTTTAATTCATTGCTAGCTCTTCAGTGCCTGGCACACAGAAGGCATCTGATGAGTATTTACCGAAGGAATAGATGAATACACTGTCCACACTGCAGCCTATACATTCAGCAGTTTGCTTTTTCACACTAAGTTTAAGTCTTTGCCAATTGCATGTTTTACCTGTTAGTTGTTAACTTCATTTCATTTGCCTTCATGAAATCTGAATAGAACAATAACAAAATATCAAGAAAATCAAATTGAAGGAAAATAAATAAAATAATTTACTTCATATTATGGGTATCGAAATCATAAAATTCTTCTGGTAATGTGATAGTGCTGTAAGCCGCTTCAAAATTCTCTTTTGGAAGGTCAACCAGTCCTGAAAAAAATTTAAAAATTGCCTTCAATAAGCAATAATGCTATATAAAACTTTTTAAAGTCCCAACTAAATCTTTATTTTCTCTCATTGAACTTCTGCTTAGTCCCCTTAACTGGTTTCCCTGTATCTACTTCTACCTCTCACAATTTGTTTTCCATAAGGCAGCCAGGGTGATATTTTTAAAAAGCAAATAGATCAGATGATGCCCATGTTTAAAATGCTTTAGCGGCCGGCGCCGCGGCTCACTAGGCTAATCCTCCGCCTTGCGGCGCCGGCACACCAGGTTCTATTCCCGGTTGGGGCACCGGATTCTGTCCCAGTTGCCCCTCTTCCAGACCAGCCCTCTGCTGTGGCTAGGGAGTGCAGTGGAGGATGGCCCAAGTCCTTGGGCCCTGCACCCTATGGGAGACCAGGAGAAGCACCTGGCTCCTGCCTTCGGATAGGCGCGGTGCGCCAGGCGTGGTGCGCCGGCCGCAGTGCGCCGGCCGCGGCGGCCATTGGAGGGTGAACCAACGGCAAAAGGAAGACCTTTCTCTCTCTCTCTCTCTCTCACTGTCCACTCTGCCTGTAAAAAAAAAAAAAAATGCTTTAGCTACTCTTCCAGTGCATTCAAATAAAATCCAAATTTCTAATCAGGACCTCTCCAGTCCTACAAACTGTCAGACACCCTATTCCCTGCCTTACTGGTGATACTTCTAACATATTAGCCATTTCGTTCCTTGAAAATGTCAAACGATTTCTCCCCATAAGACCTTTGTCCTAGAAATTCCATCTGTGTACAATGTTATTCCCTCATGAACTTTTCATACGGATTGGTACTTATTTTTCAAGTCTCAGCTTAAATTCTATCCCCTCAGAAAGGCTGTTCCCAAGTATCTTAACTAAAGTGGATTTATCTGTTGTAGTTCTCTGTTTATTTTACTTTATAACACAATTATAATCTATAATTGTTGCAACACTTTTACAAAACCTTTTCATTATCTGATTTCTTCACCAGACTAAAAAGGACCTTATTGATCTTGCTTGTCCTATATTCCAGAGTCTAATACAGTGTTTTGTACAAGGTAGATCAATAAATATTTGTGGAATATATAAGTAATATAGTAAATGAACAAATGAGCCATATTTGAAATGAGTATAAATCTACTAAGCGATTCTACCACATTTTAAATGAAGATGATTTAAAAAAAAGAAACCTATCAATCCCAATTCAACAAATATTGATTGGGGGAATAGTGTCACGCATAAGGCACTGAGACAGGTACTATAAGAGATTCAAAAAATTAAGCTGCTGTCTTCAAGGAGCCTTAAGAGAAGTAATAGAGGTGAGACCTATGCCTAAATAATCATAATACAAAGTGGGAGATAAGTGGAACAGATATTATGTAAATTAAATTTTCAATGGATTATATTTGTGACACAAATAAATCTCTAGCATTTTGAAATGTAAAGGGATTTTTAATACTGTTTCATAAATAGCATGCTATTTAGTGTCCTGAGAGTTCTGAAAATAATGATAATTATTGATTTTTTTTTTTTTTTTGACAGGCAGAGTGGACAGTGAGAGAGAGAGACAGAGAGAAAGGTCTTCCTTTGCCGTTGGTTCACCCTCCAATGGCCGCCATGGCTGGTGCGCTGCAGCCGGCGCACCACGCTGATCGGAAGGCAGGAGCCAGGTGCTTCTCCTGGTCTCCTATGGGGTGCAGGGCCCAAGCACTTGGGTCATCCTCCACTGCACTCTCTGGCCACAGCAGAGAGCTGGCCTGAAGAGGGGCAACCGGGACAGAAACCGGCGCTCCGACCAGGACTAGAACCCGGTGTGCTGGCGCCGCTAGGTGGAGGATTAGCCTATTGAGCTGCGGTGCCGGCTGATATTTATTTTTTAATCACAGTATTTCTAATTTCTCTCATAAAGGCAAAAATATATGACAGATGAAATGAATCACTAAAAATGGAATATCAGAGTTTCCTAAGTGTGATGATTTTAAGTATATTTCTTTTATAAATAGGTGGAAATATTACAAGATTTGGAATGCATAATCTTTTCCTGAAAATATGGGAAAAAAGCAAGGGAAATAATATAATTGTCCTTAACCATGGAAACAAGATTCAGTCAAAATGAAGTTTATATTCACTATTCTCACCTGCAATTACAGAGTACTGCCAATTGAAAGAGCCCACCCAAACAACAAATGTAAAAGAGAACTAAGTAAAATGAGACAACTCAACATTGCATATATACCTGGGCGAAATGTCATCTTCATTTTAAGAAATGCTTCGCTGCAATCTGCCAAAAGATATTTGGCTTTCCTATTATAGATTCGAACAACTCCCAAAAGAAGGTGTCCTGAAGTTCGAAGTGCAATTTTCACCTTTCAAAAAGTTTTTAAAGTATTAGAATAATAAAAATTAGGTTCATAAATCCTGTTCTTTGAAAATTACTGAAATCATAAGAATGCCTTTTCTTTTAAAAGCAGACGTTTCATATTCTTACTTAAAGTAAATAATTTAACTTTTGCCTCACCTTATAAAAATGATTAATTTCCTTGTTTTATGCAATGAAGACAACATAATGTGGCATTTAAGTGAAGTGTACTATTGTTGGTATTATGGGAAGAACACAAACTCAGACAGACTTGTGTTCAAGTCTGATGCTGAGCCACACTTAACCGTCCTGAACTTCAGTTAATAAAAATGGCTATAATTTATTATATACTTATAAGCATTGTCCTAATAGCTTTTTAATACATTAAGATAATTTTGACAATTACCTTTGTTTACAGAAGAGAAAATTACGTAGATGTGTTAAGTAATATGCTAAAATAATAAAACTACTGGGAAAGCAGTTATTAAACATAAATCTGACTAACTCAAAAGTTCATGCTAACTACCACACTTCACTGAAGTTCAAAGAAGACAATCTCATAGGGGTGGTATGAAGATTAAGTAAATTAATAGGGGCAGGCATTTGACATAGTAGTTTAGCTGCCTGCCACTTAGGCTGCCCACATTCCATACTGGAGTGCCCAGGTTTCAACCCTGGCTCCACTCTCTATTTCACTTCCTGCTAAAACACACACACTGGGAGACACCAGGTGATGGCTCAGGTACCAGGTTCCTGCCACCTATGTGGGAAGCCTGGATTGAGTTCCAGACTCCTGGTTTTGGCCCAGCTTAGCCTCAGCTGTTGTGGACATTTGGGAAGTGAACTAGAGGATGGGAGATCAGTCTGTCTCTCTGCCTTTCAGATAAATAAAATAAACAAATAAATAACATTTTAAAGTTTAAAAAAATACTAAAAAAGTCTAGCCTAGTGCCTAACACACAATAGTTTTTCAATTATAATTCATTTTTCTTTCAAGCAGAAAAATACTTAATCTATGAAAGTATTAATATTTTAATGGCTGTTTTACAGCAAAAATAGTACTTTACTTATAATGTGTTTTCACATTTTTTAATTTATCATTACTCCTTTCTACCTTCTCCTTTCATTCATTCATTATTTTTTCTTTTTTCTTTTTTTTTTTTTGACAGGCAGAGTGGACAGTGAGAGAGACAGAGAGAAAGGTCTTCCCTTGCCGTTGGTTCACCCTCCAATGGCCGCCGCGGCCAGTGCGCTGCAGCCGGCGCACCGCGCTGATCTGATGGCAGGAGCCAGGTACTTATCCTGGTCTCCCATGGGGTGCAGGGCCCAAGCACTTGGGTCATCCTCCACTGCACTCCCTGGCCACAGCAGAGAGCTGGCCTGAAGAGGGGCAACCAGGACAGAAACCGGCGCTCCGACCGGGACTAGAACCCGGTGTGCCAGCGCCGCAAGGCGGAGGATTAACCTATTGAGCCACGGCGCTGGCCTCATTCATTATTTTCTAAGCAATACTTATCAGGTACTTACTATGTGTTCTGAAATATTGTTAAGTAATAAGAAGGGATTATGAAATATTCACAAAACATGGCCTTTATCTTTCAGTGTTCAATCTATTCATGATAAATGTATCAATACGCAAGTATGTTTATATCCCAAAAAATGCTACAGAAATTAAAACAGACCATTTGAGAAGTAAAACTTCCTTATGGAGCCAGTGTTGTGGCATTTTGGGTTAAGCTGCCACCTGCTGGCATCCCATATGGGCCCCAGGTTCCAGTCCCAGCTGCTCCTCTTCTGATCCAGCTCCCTGCTAATGTGCTAATTATATCATGGCCCAAGTGGGAGAGCTGGACAGAGTCCCTGCCTCCCCTGCACTCGTGTGGGAAACCTGGATGGAATTCCTGGCTCCTGGCTTCAGCCTGGTCCAGCCCTGGCCGTTGTGGCCATGTGGGCAGTGAACCAGTGGATAGAAATCTCTCTCTCTCTCTTTATCTCCCTCTCTCTCTGTAACTCTGCCTTTCAAATAAATAAAATAAATCTTTTAAAAAAACTTCTTTGGAAACATATTTCATGTTATAAATCTATTTTGATTCCTTTCTTCAGAAGTCATGGAAAATACAAACTGTCAACTTAATCAATAACCTACCTTAGGTGAAATAATTCTTTCAATGGTTATCTCCAGGTTACATTCAAACACTTGGGCCTTTGTGAGTTTTCTCTCCCAGTGAGCTGCAAGCCATATTTTGGCCAATGGCCCCCGTTTATTCATAAGCACGTGGGTGTAGAACATATTGCCTGTATTCCTTAGCTGTATTTAACTAACTAGAGGGAATATGAAAAGATATTTAGAATTTGATTACAAAAACCATTCAGTGATTTTTACAGTAAGAATATTTTCATTAATTATAAAAAATCTGATTATCTTCTAATTCAGTATATCATTCGGTTCAAATTATTTTCTGATGAAAGAAGCTTATTTAGAATGTGAACTTGCCCTTCCCTAAGAAGCTAAATTAATAGAACTCCAAAGGGCAATAAAGTGGAAAAATGACGAAAACAAGAAACCATAGGAAAAGAATTAGAAGACAACAAGGAAGGAAACAAAAAGTCAAATGTAGATGTTTTGAAATAAGAATGGCAAAACAAAATCTTCGCTTAAAAACGCAAAAATTAATGTACATTTCCACAAATTGTCCTACCCTTGTTAATACCTTAAGGCTCTATTTTTAAAGCCAGAAACAAGAGGGGATACTATAGCACTTTGGCTCCTAAAGGAGAATCAATCTTCACTTATATATAAGTAAACATAACCTGCCAAGATGGAAGCTTCTACCTGCTTCTTTTCTACTGAAACGTTTGAAAGACGAGACCAAACGACCACCGAAAATCTGCCACAGAATTAAAAAGGCAGGTGAACTCGGATCCGTGTCCATTTCTACCACCAAGAGTCCCATCACCGCGCCCAGACTAAAGGCCATCTCCCAGACCCCAGGGCCCCAGGGTCCTGAGGAGGCCGGCGGCGAAGGCTTGCCCCTGGCTCTGGACGCGCTTTCTTCCTTTCCGGTCCGAGTTTTGGTATTTTGGAATAAATTCCCATTTATCTTTCTAAAACTGCTCCCAGGCGTGTCAAGTACTATAAAATGCACTTCTCCGGGAACAGACGTTTGAAAAACCCCTGGCGGTCTGCTACTTCGGAGACGCTGACCTGCCCTGGCTCGCACTGACCCCTGCCCACCGCCGGCCAGGCCCGCCCCGTCCGGAGCCTGGATGTTTCTAAATGGAATTTCCTCGGTGAAGTAAAGCTGGGGGGAGCTGCCCGGGACCAGAGGGCAGCGGAGTGGCGAGCGCGAGGAAACCGCGTCGGGACACGCAGGGGACTGCAGCTGGCGGGAGACCCCGGGCAGGGGCGAGGAGGAGGAGGAGGAGGAGGAGGAGGAGGAGGAGGAGGAGGAGGAAGGTGCTGGGGGCGTTGACCAGGACTGGGAGGAGCACACGGAGACCGACAAGGGCAGGGTCGCCTCAGAGTGAAACTGAGGCAAGAGGCGTCCCCGCCGCCACCGGGCGAGAGGAACCCGGGCCGCGCCTCCAGCCCCTGAGGGGATGCGAGCGGCGGCGTTCTTCTCTCAGACTAAGCTCCCGGGGTTCAGCGCCGCGGGCTGAGGGGTCGGTGAGGGGCCGGAAGGGACGCGTGTGCGGCTGTGGGTGGCCGCGACCCCCATCACAGAGTCCACCCGGCCTCAGGCTGCGCCCTACTTTCAGCGCCGGGTCTGAGAGAAGCGCGCCGGAGCAAGAGCTGAGAGGAGCCGCCGACCCCGCACGTCGGGTCTGAGGCACTTAGCTGAGCAGCTGCTTGTTCGCGGAGAGCTGTGGGGCGGGGCGAGGGGCGGGGGCGTGCGTGGGGACTGGGCGGGGCGAGCGGGGGCGGGGCGTGCAGGGGCGGGGCGTGCAGGGGCGGGGCGTACAGGGACGTGGCGAAGGGCGTCAGCGGCGGCAGTGGGCGAGAGGCAGGACCGACGGAAGGCTGGGCGGACAGAGGGCGGGACGCACCAGTCCGCGGTCTTTTGTGTTGGGCTGGCGCTCAGACCCCGGTCGTCATCTGTGCAGGAGGGTGGCAGGGCCGCGGCTTGGCCCCATGGTCCCATTGTGAAACGTGAACCTTGCCACCTGATCTCTGAAATCCAGCCTCCTCCCTGGAGCACTTTTCAATTTAATCCCCTGAACCTCAGTTTTTTTCATCTGTAAAATAGAAATTGACAGCAAACATTTCTTTTTTTTTTTTCTTCCTTTCTTAAGACTTACTTATTTCAAATGCAGAGTTACAGAGAGACATCATCTATCCTCTGGTTCACTCCCTAAATGGCCACAATGGCCAGGGCTGGGCCAGGCCAAATCCAGGAGACAGGAGTTTCATCCCAGTCTCCCACACGGGTGGCAGGGGACCAAGCACTTGAGCAGGGAACTGGATTGGATGTGGAGCAGTCAGGGCTCAATCAATGTCCATGTAGAATGCTAGTGTCACGGGCGACAGCTTAATCCCCTGTGCCATGAAGCCAGCCCCATGGAATGCCACAGCTTTGAATAGCCAAAGCCACTTGCTAGAACCTGAGAGAAATTGTACCAGGGCCTAAGAACTCAAGACTGGCTTGTTTATTTGAGCATCACAGTAAATGCTAATAAATCTTGGAACAGCAGTGGTAACCAACAGAAGGTTATAGATAAGGCCCAGACTCCTTGGTGGCATTCTCATGGGTTGTCTCATTTACTCTGCAAACTACCTCCCAAAATAGTAGTTTCCCCCCTTTAGTGTGAGGAAATGGCCCAGGCACTAAAAGCTGTCTGTGCGGAGTCACAGAGTTGGGGCTAGTGGCAACATCCCCTTAGACAATGGGGGCACAGCCACTAGTGCAGAAATCTGGGAGGCAACCATGATGCTACCCTTGTGTGCGCGTTGATGTTGGTCCACCAGCAAGTCCATCACTCCGTCCTGATCTCGGCCATCTCCCTCCTAGCAGCATTGTCCCGGTCTCCTCAGCCACCTGTCCTGTCCCTGCCTTCCTAGAACCTGTCCTCCACACTGACTGCACAGCGGTCTTCGGCAAGTATGAATCAGACTGCAGTACCCCCTGCCCCCCTCTTTTGAGGGCCTTCAGTCTTTCTGTTGCTTTGTAAATAAAGCTGAAACTCCGCCCCTAACAATGACAAGAGCCTTGTGGCCTCCCCCTTCCTCGTTCTCCGGCTTCATTTCACCCAGGTGCGTTTACCTGGACACTGATGAATCTTCAGCTTCAGGGCCTACACTTACATGGGCCCCTCCAAGGCTGGGGTAGCAACGTAGCGATGGGTTTGCATGGGTATGGCTTTTTGTAAACTTTGCAGAAATGGAGTATGTAACCACAATCTTTTAAGTTCAAGGTCTCTTTCCACTCCAGCTCTCTCTGTCATGCTAGGCTGGTGGCAATGGAGTGCCTGAGGGGTGCAGCTAACGAGAGGTGGGTTAGGTGTGCACTGACTTCATGTGTGGAGGGCTCTGTTGTTAGGGTTCCACATCACTGCAGTCTGTAGTTAGCTCACTGCTACCCATGTCAGTGTAGGACTGCCTTGCCAAGCTGACTCACCCTGCACTCTGACTAGGGCCCTACGATGTGTTACTGCTCAGCGTCAGGACTGTGCACATAGACTGGAGAGGAAACAAGGTTTGAAATGTACAGAACCAGAAGCTAGTCTCTGGAAAATTCTTTCAATCATCAGACACATGAAACTGTAAGCCGAATTGTCATCGAGTCTGGTGAAAGAAGTTCTTTGCAGGTGGAGATCTCTGTTGGCAGTGCGGCGTGTCAGTTACGACTGCAGTGCCTGTGTTTTCTTCACAGACAGAAGACATCAGGGTTTTGTGTTTGAAGAGAACAGCAAACAGCTGGTACATCCATGTAGGAAGATGAGTGGTTTTTAAAACTATTATTTGAGAGGTAAAGTTACAGACAGAGAAAGGGAGAGACAGAGAGAAAGGTCTCCCACCTGCTGGTTCACTCCCCAAATGCCACAATGACCAGAGCTGAGCAGATCCAAAGCCAGGAGCCAGGAGCGTTTTCCAGGTCTCCATGCAGGTGCAGGGGCCCAAGGACTTGGGCCATCTTCCTCTGCTTTCCCAGGCCACAGCAGAGAGCTGAATTGGAAGAGGAGCAGCCAACACACAAACCGGTGCCTATATAGGATGCCAGTGCTGTAGGCGGAGGCTTAGCCTACTATGCCACAGTGTGGGTCCAGAAGATGAGTGTTTTATGATATCATTAAACAGGATCATATCTTACGTGGCATATTTGTTTTAGCAATGTCTGGTGCTTACAAATGAAATAGCCTGTAGACCACAACAAAGGTAGTAATTCATAAAGAGGAATACATACATTTCAAATCAAAGGCATGGATTACGCTCAACTTTCCAATAATCTAATCAATTGGGGTAAATCATAGAGATGCATTGGGAAAGATTTAAATTTATTGTTTGACATGAAATACTGATATGAATGAAGAAAATAGAGAACTCATAACATACATCTATATGGGGGCATTGACAATGAACTGTTTACTGTGTTGTTAATTCCATGTTTAGAATCAGTCACTATACAACCAGACTTACAGGCTATGGATGAAAGGAACGGAGGGGCTTCCCCACATTTGACAAGAATCCTAAAAATGTACGTGGTGTTAAGCTTTATAGCTTAAAGCAAGTTGTTCAAAGTATCCATCTCCACAGTTACTCAACTTTGTAGGAGACTTCTCTCTAGTCTCCTTTTAGGAAATAATACAACAAAAGCATTGCCTTATGACCAGATCAGAGACTATACAGCAAAAATGTGGAGAAAAATTAGTATAGAGTCATATCATACAGCTAATTAATAAATATGCTGTGTCTAGATTTTTGTGATGTTTTTCAGTTTCTAAAGTTTGTAATTAGTTATTTTTCCTTTCATCCTAAAAAAAATCCCTTTCTAGCCTAATTCTGTATTTGTGACTCTGTATTCCTTCTCTTAAGGAGTTCCTTGAACTGTGCCAGCTTCAGGTCCCACTCACGCACTGCCCCTCCACCCCCGGCCCCAGCCACACTGGATATCCTCTGACCATTCCTCCAGAAAGTGCATGACACATTGTTGCATCAGAAACATACTCACAAGTGAATGAGTGACACAAAAATGGGATGCCATAATGTTAACAGCATGAAAACATGAACTTTGTGTATTGTATTTATCCCTGCATCCCAGCAGTGCCTGGCATACAGCAGGTGCACAATAAGCACTTTTTGAAGGAATCCAGGAGTATTCCACTACAGGCCATGTTTCTTTCCCTTGGCCCCAGCTATACCCAGCTTGCAAAACATTTGCCTGAGATGGTTTCTACAGCTCAGAGGTGTCATTTTCATTTTAAAGACTAAAGGGAGGACCAGAGAAGGAGAAGTGGCTTGCCCCCAGGTAACTCAGTCAATGGCCGAGTTGAAGTTTATACCCAGGTTTCTGATGCCAGAAAGCATCATCCTCCGAGGGCCTCCGGATAAGATGCCCCACAATGAGCAAGCAGATGGTGGCAGGAGCCCAAGGAGAGAGATCCTGGGGAAAATGACACTATGTGGACACTAGGTGGCGCCCGCATACAGCATAGTAATCATCTACTCAGGGTAAGGAGCCGGAAACATCTGCCCAAAGGGCACCTTTTTACTTTATTTTATTTATTTTTTGACAGGCAGAGTGGACAGTGAGAGAGAGAAACAGAGAGAAAGGTCTTCCTTTACCGTTGGTTCACCCCACAATGGCCTCTGCAGCCGGCACACCGCACTGATCGGAAGCCAGGAGCCAGGTGCTCTCCTGGTCTCCCATGCGGGTGCAGTCCTGGGCCATCCTCCGCTGCACTCCCAGGCAAAGGGCACCTTTGAACCTTTGGTTTCATTTTTCTCAGCTGTTCTGCTTTTGCTTTCCAGGGCATTGCTCTCTGGGTCTCAGTTTTCTCCTCTGCCAAATGGAAGTGTTAACACGTATTCAGTAGTTGAATATTGTGTCCTGGTGTCTGTGTGTGGCAGTCATTCAGCAAGCATGAGCCCTGTGACAAGGCCCAAGTGCGCTCCAGCTATGTGAAATTCTTCTCCGCCATGCATTGCTTTTTTTTTTTTTTTTTTTTTTTTTTTTGACAGAGTGGATAGTGAGAGAGAGAGACGGAGAGAAAGGTCTTCCTTTACCGTTGGTTCACCCCCCCCCCCCATGGCCTCTGCAGCTGGCACACCATGCTGATCCGAAGCCAGGAGCCAGGTGCTTCTCCTGGTCTCCCAAGCGGGTGCAGGGCCCAAGCACTTGGACCATCCTCCACTGCACTCCCGGGCCACAGCAGAGAGCTGGCCTGGAAGAGGGGCAACTGGGACAGAGTCCAGCACCCCAACCGGGACTAGAACCCGGGGTGACGACGCCGCAGGCGGAGGATCAGCCTATTGAGCTGTGGCCCGGCGCATGCATTGCTTTTGACAGATTGCCCTGCAAAGTAATTTCTGTCATCATCCCCACTTTATAGGGAGCAAAATGAAACATAGAAACTTACATTATCTGCCCAATGTCACAAAACCGGACCTGGGATTCAGATCCAAGCAGCCTGATGGCAAATGCTCACTTGGAATCACTGAGTTATGTTGCCTATGTGCTGCTGCTGTGGAGGAAGGAGAGGGGAAGAAGGAAGAAGGGGACGAGATGGAGGAGGGAAGGCAGAGAAGGAAGAAGTAGGAGGGAGAGGAGAAAGGAGGAGGAAGAAGAGAAGGAACAGGAGGAAGACGACGAGGAGGAAATATATGCCAATAACCTAGAATGTGTCCAGTGTCAAAAACTGAGCTGACTTGGGGCTGGCACTGTGGCAGAGCAGGTAAAGTCGTCGCTTGCAGTCCTGGCATCCCATATGGGATGTCCGGCTGCTCCATTTCCTATCCAGCTCTCTGGCCCAAGTCCCTGGGTCCCTGTGCCCATGTGGGAGACCCAGATGAAGCTCCTGGATCTTGCCTTCTGCCTGGCCCAGCCCTGGCTGTTGAGGCCATCTGGGAAGTGAACAAGTGGCTGGAAGATCTCTCTCTGTCTCTCTGTCTCTGTCTCTGTCTCTCTAACTCTGATTTTCAAATAAAAATAAAATTCTAAAATAAAATGAGCTGACCAATCAAACTCCCTCCCTATAGACATTAACTTCAAGAAATCACTAAGAGTGGGAGTAGAAGTGAAAAGATGGAGAAAGACCAGAAGGCAAAGCCCCAGCCCATGTTAAAGGAAGCTGGTCACAGTGCTGTGAAGAAGCTCAGACCCATGGAGGGTCGTGTGCGAGGGTCCCAGCTGCCAGTCTCTGCTAAGGTCCCATGCAACAGCCAGCATCCACTGTCAGACGTGAGCTAGTAAGCCTCTGACACAGACACCCTGAGAGAGCCAAACTGTGCCGCAGCAACCCCGAAGACCGTGGGAAATAAGGATTATGACAATGATGAGTGGTTGTTGCAATAATCATAGGACTGTTGTTCTAACTTGGGGCAGTTTGTTGCACGCCAGTATGCACAACTCATGCTGTCTGTACGGTTCAGGGTGGCTTCCACAGAAAGGCAGGCCTCTCAGAGTTTCTCGTTAATCATAGTGAGAGTTCCCACCTGCCCTCACCAGCTCTGGGTCCCAGGTCCTGCTCTGTTCTTCTACTCGCTCCTAAGTTTTGGTTCTGACCCTGTTATTGATCTTCCCATCTGTGTCCCCTCTGCTCCTCACTCTGGGAGGAGCCAGGCTTAGAAGGATAGTATTGTTTGGGCTGCTTTGGCAGGAAAAACTCTGGACTTTGCTTTCGGCAACCACAGTGCACGCGCTCCCCCTGCCGCTCACTGGCTGTCCTGGATGGAGGTGATTTCTAGCCTTCGCTGGGGACATTGTCCCCACCCCAACCTCCAGGGCCCCAGCACCTGGCTCAGAATGAACCTGCTCAGACCTGGGATCAGAAACTGAGAGTTGATTCCAGATGTGTATTCTTGGAGAAGCCCAAATATTCCATAAGAGGAGGGCAGGTTCAGGGGGCTCTGGGTCCATCTTTCCAGGTTTGAGGGTGCGGAGTTTGGTTTGTGCGCCCAGTTGTGAGAAGCTGGGAGAGGCAGAGGTGCTAGTGGTTGGCACTATGCATGGGAGCTGATGTCCTGTCTACTTTGCATGCCTGGATACCAGGCAGAGGTCTCTCCAGGTGATGGGTGCATGCCGCTTGTCTGTCTGTCATGGGCATAGTTTCACACACCAATCCCATAGCAGTAAGAACAAGCAGACATTTGTTACCCTTCCCATTGCCAAGGGCTCCATAAAGTGGTTTATGCACATTATCCCATTTAATCCACACAGCAGTCCTCTGAGTAATCACTGTTATTATCCCTTTTCTTGCAGATGAGGTAACTGAAGCTCAGAGAGGCTGAGGAGCTGTTATTTAAAGCAAACAGTAATGAAACATTAGAGCTGGAATTAAAATAAGGGGTAGCAAGCACATTTTTTAAAAGATTTCTTTATTTACTTGAAAGGCAGAGTTACACGGAGAGAAAGATCTACCATTCACTCGTTCACTCCCCAAATGGCCAGAACCTGGAACTCCATTCTGGTCTCCCACGTGAGTGGCAAGGATCCAAGGACTTGGGCCATCTCCCACTGCTTTCTCAGATGAATTAGCAGGGAGCTGGATAGGAAGTGGAGCAGCCAGGACTCGAACCAGTGCTCCTGTGGGATGCCGGCATCGCAGGTGGTGGCTTAACCTGCTGTTCCACAATACCAGCACCAGCAAACACATCTGTAATCAGACCACACACGTTATGAACATCATCAGATTCCATCTTGCATCCATCATACTAGCAAACATCAAGACGATTGATACGTGTTGACCAGATGCGGAGCCCAGGAACTCTCATGCTTGGGTTGTGGCAGTGCAAAAGAACAGCCCATTTCAGAAAACAGATTTGTGGTCAACTTGGGCATCCCCATGCCTCCAGTTCAACTCTGAGACATAAAATCTAGAAAAACTCTCGTACTTGTGTGCCGGGAGACATGAACAAAAATGATGACAGTGGACAGTGGTAGTGGGAAGAATAGCAAAAAATTGTGTCAGGCAGGGACAGGTAGGAGACAGAAACCACATCAGTTATTTTAACACAGAATTTCATATAAAGAATTACTAACTAGGTATAAAGTGCTTAAGTGGGTGAGAGGAAGGTTATAAAAAGAACTTGAAGGTAGCAATTACAGGGAGCCTCTACCACCCCCAGGGCTGAGGGAACAAAGGAAAGAAGCTGAGACTGCCAAAGCTTCCAACTGCAGAGAAAGCTTCGTGGAGCTGAAATTCAGGTGTCTCAGAAGGGGAGTTGTGTTCTGCTGGGACTGGGCGCGCCGTGCAAGGGCAGGGACTCAGACTGGAGAGGAGGGGGCCTGGCTATCAGAACTACTGTCTCTGGGCTCAGGCAGGGACCCCGTGGGGTTGGGACTACACCCTGGAGCAGGTGATGCCTCAGCCTGGAACTGCTGCTGGAGCGTGCTCCCAGGGAAGGGGACGAGCCATTCTCTCTCCTCCAGCCAGGCCTGACCGGGACCAGCTGGTGGCACACGTCCGTGCTGTGCAGGGGCACAGCCCCAGCCTCCCAGAGCAGAGATTTTTTGCTGTCAAACATTATATAAAACTCTCAGGTCAGGGCCGGCGCCGCGGCTCACTAGGCTAATCCTCCGCCTAGCGGCGCCGGCACACCAGGTTCTAGTCCCAGTTGGGGCGCCGGATTCTGTCCCGGTTGCCCCTCTTCCAGGCCTGCTCTCTGCTGTGGCCAGGGAGTGCAGTGGAGGATGGCCCAGGTGCTTGGGCCCTGCACCCCATGGGAGACCAGGAAAAGCACCTGGCTCCTGGCTCCTGCCATCGGATCAGCGCAGTGCGCCGGCCGCGGCGGCCATTGGAGGGTGAACCAACGGCAAAAAGGAAGACCTTTCTCTCTGTCTCTCTCTCTCACTGTCCACTCTGCCTGTCAAAAAAAAAAAACAAAAAACAAAAAACAAAAAACAAAACAAAACAAAAAAACCTCTCAGGTCAGTCTATGTGTAATGCACCCCCTCCACTCTGCCTCTGTATGCAACAGATTTACTTTTTCAAAGCCACAAAAACGATCTTTTTTTTTTTTTTTTTTTGAGGGCTGCTAACTTTATTGTTTTGTTGTTAAGGAGCTTCTCGTAGGGGTTCAGAGCAGTGAAGTCACACATTCACGGTAATGTCCCCAAAGAGGACTCTTCTGCATCTGAGATGTTCAGATCCGAAAGTTTCGGCTTTGGGCTGCAGCTTCTTCTTCCGAGTCCCAGCCACACTGGCTCTGTCCTGCGCAGGCTGACTTTACCCTCCTGAGCAAAGCGTCCCCTCCCTCCTCCCCTGCCCAATCCTCACCTATCGACCATTCATTACCATTGCACTCTCTTGAATACTGTTAACTCCTTCTCCTATGTGAGGGCAATGGCTGGGTTTCGTTTATCTTTTTTTTTTTTTTTTTTTTTTTTTGAGATTTAACTACATGCAAGTAGATTTTCAAAAATGAAAAAGCTACAAATAATAAGATTATGCTCACAGGATGGCTTTTTTTATTTTTACCTCCTTTCTCCCGTCTTTCTGGCCAGGAGATAAAAAATTTTTAAAAAGATTTATTTTATTTATTTGAAAGACAAGAATTACAGAGAGAGGTAGAGGCAGAGAGAGAGGTCTTCCATCCACTGGTTCACTCCCTAGATGGCCGCAACGGCCAGAGCTGCACCGATCCGAAGCCAGGAGCCTGGAGTTTCCTCCAGGTCTCCCACGTGGGTGCAGGGACCCAAGGACCTGGGCCATCTTCTACTGCTTTCCCAGGCCATAGCAGAGAGCTGGATAGGAAGAGGAGGAGCCATGACTAGAACTAGCATCCACATGGATGCCAGTGCTTCAGGCCTGGGCTTTAACCCACTGCACCACAGCGCCGGCCCCAGGAGATAAATTTTTAAAATCATGACTGCAGACCTTTTCAATGGAGTGTGCTGTTGTATAAGGATATTTCAAAAGTTCGTGAACAATGGAGTTAAAAGGTGCTCATTCTGGCACAAAAATATTTTTAAATACATGCATAGTTTTTTCAAAATATTCATTTTCCAAGAACTTTTTCAAGACCCCGGAATATGCATGGATTTCAAAAGTTTTCCACACCCAACTAAAATTGTCTTTTAATTGCATTTTACATGAACTTTTTGAAGTCCCCTCACATTGTGAGCTTGATGCTTGTTGTTAGGGAGGTCGTTGTCACAGATCCTGAATGAATGCATGAGATGTCATTTCTTGATTATCACTGGCCGGTGCTTCGTGGAACATCTGGATGTATTCCTTGGGACCCTTCTGGTTGCAAAGGAAGGAAACCCTGTTCACAATGGCTTAAGCAAAGACAAACCAATGTGTGTGCCTATGGGTGGTAGTGGTGGGGTTTCCTGGCTTCAGCCACTGGGAAGAATGCCAAGCTAACACAAGACTAGGGCCTGAAATCAGGCACTCCTCCTCCCTGTCTCTGGGGTGGCCCTCTCTGCTCCTCTTTGCAGATTTGTGCCTCTCCTCCTTACCACAGTCAGTCCCTGTCACGGCACATGCTCACTGGCAGCCTTCACTTTCTAATTGTAGTGGCAACAGCATCCAGATAGCAATCCCGGGGAAGGACGGTGATTGGCTCTGTTGAGTCACATGCCCACCCACTGGGCCAATAGCATAAGGGCAACTATAAATTAAATAATGGGCCAGCCCTAACAACATGCCCAGCTCTAAGGCCAGGGTGGCAAGAGGGCCTGTTATCATCAGATGAAGGGGAACAGGAAGACATGCTGAGAAAATAGAAGACAGTCACTAAGCACTACACAGGGTTTGATTTCTCACCATGGCGTCCCTTGGGTGCCATCTTTACATAGCCAGTTCCTTCTTTGAACCGCTGCCTTGTGGGAAATTCCCAAGAATAGGATGGCCACTCTGGTACTTGCCAGAGCCATATACCCTGGTAGTGTTTTCAAAATGTGTTCACAGCCAGTAACTTACCAGGGCCTCACAAGAAACCTCTAATACATGACAGAAATGGAACCAGAGACACAGAGACGTGGACAGATAGGTGCAGGGACACACAGAGGATGGGGACAGAGATGAACTCAGAGTCTGGCTTCCTGACTCCCATTTGGATGCTCTCCCCACTGAAACACCGGAGTCACCTTAGACTGGAGCGGGAGGGTGTAAGTCCATTGTCATCTCTGGCCAGTTAAGGGAGGGAGCTCCGTCTGCTTTCTTCTGCTCGGAGCTGGGCCAGCTGCCTCGAGGAGACAGACGGGCAGCCCCTGCCCTCGGATCCTGTCCGAGCTCTGATCGGGGAGGTCCCTGCGCTGGACCTGGTGTCCTCCCAGTGGGCGGTCTCAGCCCGAAGCTCCTCCAGGACCCTGTGCAGATGCCTGAGCGTGAGCAGCAGCTGCTGGTCCTGGAGCTGCATCTCAGCCTGTGACAGAAAAAGAGCCTGTGAGGGGTGTGCAGAGCATGGCTGGGTCCCCATAAAACCCCTTCCTGTCCCTGTCGCATCGGAGACAAGCCTGCTTGGCAGGTGTGCAACCTGACAGCACTGTATCCACCAAAGCCTGCTGCTTTGTCTGCAAAGCAGAAAGCAAACGACTTTCTACAAACGAGGACTGCATGAATGAGTGCGCAGAAAAACATGCTCTAAAATGTGATGCGTGTAACTCCACTCTCTCCTTTTATCTTCGCTGTAACTAACGGATCATTTTGTAGGTACTAAGATGAGAATGGCTTCTTAGTGAAACAAGATAAAGCTGGCAGGTTGGAGGCTGTGGGAACAGTGATTCTCACCATAAGATCCGGGAATGCTTGGGTTCCCAAAACCCTTTCAGGAGCTCAGTGAGGTCAAAACTACCTTCCCGGGGCCAGCATTGTGAAGTAGCTGGTAAAGCCACCACCTGCAGCACCAGCATCCCACATGGGTTTGTGTCCCGACTGCTGTACTTCTGATCCAGTTCCTTGCTAATGGCCTGGGAAAGCAGTGGGTGCTTGGGCCCCTGCACCCTCGTGGGAGACCTGGAAGAAGCTCCTGGCTCCTGGCTTCAGTCTGGCCCAGCCCTGGCGCTTGCGGCCATTTGAGGAGTGAACCAGCAGATGGAAGACTCTCTCTCTCTCTCTCTCTCTCTCTCTCTCTCTCTTCCTCTTTGTAACTCTCTGCCTTTCAAGTAAATAAAATAAATCTTAAAAAAAAAATCCTACCTTCTTCACTGTGGGGAGCAACTGGGAGCAACTCGGACTAAACTAAGTTACTGGAATTAAGACTTATTCTATGCATCTGCTTTCCCACAATATGGCGCTGAGAAGGGAAACAGCTTCTACACAGCTCCTCCAGTTCAACCAATAAACTGTGGGACCTGCTCCTGATTGGAGGAGAGCAGCGTACCCGGCGTGTGGGTAGCAGAGTTGGGATTGGTGGAAGAGGACTATAAAGGAGGAGAGAGCCGGCATGCACGAGGAACATCTAAGGGGGAACACCTGAGGAACACCTGTGCAGCCCCCGAGAGAGCCGGCCGGCGGTGTGCTGCTCCCCCGCGGAAGTGGGGAATGTGGCAGGGGGAACCACCCTTCCACGGAGGTGGAAGGGACGGCAGCCAACCCGGGAAGAACCAGCAGCAAACCCGGGGAGGGCCGAGCAGACGAAAGAACAGCGCAGGGTCCTGTGTGGTTCCTCCACGAAGACGGGGAGCGACACTTCACAAGACTAAGACACTGTTTTCCTTTCTCATTGTCGTCCTCTTAGTAGTGTACAGTGGAGTTTTCCAGAAGCTAATGACCTGTAATATCTCAACAGATTGGAGGCAGAAGCAGACAGGGGAATCCAGCTGTCTTCTGTTAAGCCAGGCATCAAAGCAATTTGCAAGCAAGTAAAGCAATATTACTCCTCGCTGAATATTTGCTTTGAAAAAGTTATTTTAAATCAGATTTTATCAACAGGTAATGAGGTTATTATTTTAAGTGCATTGATAAATATCAAAATGTCCTAAGTTTTGGTTTCTAATTTAGTCAATATTGATATACTCACATGAATGAAAGATTGGTGTCCTTAATAAACTTTGCAAGCGTTAAGGGATCCTAACACCAAAAGGCCTGAGAACCACTGTCCTGAAGCTCTGCCGCCACCGCTCGTCCGTCTCCAATCTTTCTCCCATTTTCCCCTAGGAATTTTTCCCTACACATTTCCTCTCTTTCGCGTTCCCTTTGAAAATGTTAAAATATCGGGCAGGCTTTTGGCCCTTGGTTAAGATACCTGCTTCCTGTGGAGGAGGACCTCGGTTTGATGAGCAGCCCCAGCTCTGGGCTTCAGTGTCTACAAATGACGACCTCAGAAGGCAGCAGAGGGGCTCAGGTGGCCAGGGTCCTGCCTCCTACGGGGGAAACCTGCACTGATTTCCTGCCTCCTGGCCCAGTTCCAGCCATTGCAGGCTCTTGGAGACTGAACCAAGAGAGGGCAGCGCTCTTTCATGCACTCTCTTTCTCTAGAATGAATACATTAAAAATCTTTAAATGCTAAAATTTTATTTTCTGACTAAATAATTCTTACACTGGATATAAAATTTAACAGCTCCTAAGATCATATAATTATTTTCTTTTTTAGAGATTTATTTATTTATTTGAGAAGCAGAGTTTTAGACAGAAAGAGGGAGAGACAGAGAGATCTTCCATCCGCTGGTTCACTCCCCAAATGGCCACAACAGCTGGAGCTGGGCCGATTTGAAGGCAGGAGCCAGGAGTCAGGAGCCAGGAGCCAGGAGCTTCTTCTGGGTCTCCCATGTGGGTGCAGAGGCCCAAGCACTTGGGCCATCTTCCACTGCTTTCCCAGGCCATTAGCAAGGAGCTAGATTGGAAGTGGAGCAGCCAGGACTCAAATCTATGCCTGTATGGGATGCCAGCACTGCAGGCAGAGGCTTAACTTACTACGCCACAGCGCTGGCCTCAAGGACATATTATTAAAAGTCTCTCCCCTTGTTTCATGCCAGAACTCAAAGTTTCCTTCTCCAGGGGCTGTCAGTGTACATGGGCCCAGCTTTCCCTTCCCACGCTGCTTGAAGCACAGCACATGGCCTGACTTGCAGTCCTACTTTCTCCTCTCTCTTTCTCACAGATAATTATCGTCAGCCCTCCATGGCTCTAGGTCCCACGTCTGGATTCAAGCAACTGCAGCTTAAAAAGCTTTGGGGAAAAAAATTGCCTCTGTATTGAAAATGTTCAGACTTTCATTTCTTGTCACTAATCCCCAAACAATACAGGATCACAAGTATTTACATAGCATTTACATGGTATTCAGTAGTGGAAGTCATCTGGAGGTGCTTTAACGTATACAAGAGGATGCGTATTGGTTATATGCATTTCCCTTTTTTTTAGGATTTATTTATTTATTTATTTAAAAGGCAGAGTTACAGGCCGGCGCCGCGGCTCACTAGGCTAATCCTCCGCCTTGCGGCGCCAGCACACCAGGTTCTAGGCCCGGTCGGGGCACTGGATTCTGTCCCGGTTGCCCCTCTTCCAGGCCAGCTCTCTGCTGTGGCCAGGGAGTGCAGTGGAGGATGGCCCAAGTGCTTGGGCCCTGCACCCCATGGGAGACCAGGAGAAGCTCCTGGCTCCTGGCTTCGGATCAGCGAGGTGCGCCGGCCTCAGCACACCGGCCGCGGCGGCCATTGGAGGGTGAACCAATGGCAAAGGAAGACCTTTCTCTCTCTCTCTCTCTCTCTCTCTCTCTCTCACTGTCCACTCTGCCTGTCAAAAAAAAAAAAAAAAAAGGCAGAGTTACAGAGAGAGAGAGAGAGAGAGCTTCCATCTGCTGGTTCACTCCCCAAATGGCCACAACGGTTGGGGCTGGGCCAGGCAGAAGTCTGGAAGCTGGAACTCAAGCCAGATCTCCCATGCAGGTCCAGGGGCCCAAGTACTTGGGACATCTGCTGCCTCTTTCCCAAGCACATTAGTAGGGAGCTGGATCAAAAGAAGAGCAGCTGGGACTTGAACATGTAGGATGCCAGCTTTGCAGGCAGTGGCTTAACCCACTGTGCCACAATGCCAGCACCAATATCCATTTTCTAAAAAGGACTTGAGCATCCATGGGTTTTGGTATCTACAGGGGGCCCTGGAGCCAGGGTTGACAACTATATTAATGTTCCACCAATAAAAGCAGTGTTGTAGTTTTCTAGACAAAGAGCAAGTCCATGGGCTCCTCTGAGGCATGAGAAATCCTGCTGGGACAGTGAGAAGCTGGGAAGAGAGGGCCTGCAGGTGAAGGTGTAGGCCGTCCCCCTGAGAACACTGGGATTCTTCCAGTAGCAAAGCAGGTAGTTGTGGGAGGTCCCTTCCCAATTCCTAGGAAAACACTCAATCCATGTCTCCTCCACTCTAGGGATTTCCACCCGTACATCTCTTCATCCATCCTTCAGCACTGGTTCGGGGTATGTGTGGTGAGAACAGCATGGGGTACCCAACAGGGCAGCCATGTTAAGGGAGGCAGTGGACATGGTGACTCTGGCTGGGAGGCCAGGAGACCCTGAGTGGTAGGGAAGTGTTATCTCACAAGGCAAGAGGTCCAGAGCAGGTGTGGTGCTGGACTTAGTTTGCTCAATCTCTGCAGTGCCCAGCTCCGCACAGGCATCAGGAGGGTCAGCCGTGTGGTCACGGGTGTCTGTGGCTCTTCCCCCTCTTTTGGATCCCACCAAGACCCTGGGGTCCACAGGATCCCAGGCAAAGAGGGAGAGAGTGCTTTTGACTGTGGTAGTCACTGGCCTCCCTAATTTGTCCCCTCTGCTCCATGCAGGCACCATCCAGTGCTGGTCCTTCTCTAACAACCATCAAGTGGGGCTTCTTGGGTGGGCTCTGGAGGGGCCCTTATTGTCATGCAAATTCCATGCGATCCGCATGTCCAGGATCAGTAGGAGGAGGCTCAAGCCCCGCTTCATCTCTCGGCGTCATGGGGAGACACGGAGACTGTTTCAGGTTACCTACCTCCCCTCTGCCCCTGGGTCTTGCTCCCTCTTTGTGGGGAAACAGGCGCTTTGTTTTCAGGCACCAAGCAGTCTCAACTTAGGCCCCCAGTGTTCAGGGAGCCTGGGGAAGTCCAGCTGTCCAGTCCTGGGTACCTGTGGGCTGGAAGGAGCTGCAGCCCCTGCTGGAATCCCCTAGTCCCAAGAGAAGCCCCTATGGGGTTAGGCCCTCTCTGTGGGGTAAAGACAGGGGTGGGTCCCAGCTGGCCTGTTGCCTGGCAACCCAAAAAGGTCCTTCTAGGACAAACACAAACCCGTGTTTCCCTCCCATAATGACAGACAGGTGTGTTGCAATACAAGCCTCTTTCTTCAAGTCCCTGCACTGCCTCCCTCTCTCCCTTGTCTGGTGTCCCCACACTCTTTGGGGGCACTCTTCTAGTTTTGGACTTGGAGAAAATGCCACAAAGAAGGGAACAAAGTCTGGCTTCCCTGAGCAGACACCAAGAGAGCAACGGGTGTAACTGAGGTGTGCAGGAGAGTTAGTGCCCCATGGGCTGGGTCCTTAGAGCAGGAAGTGAAAGATGAGAACAACCTGGACCATGCATTTTCACATCTCTCTCTGCCGGGGGCAGTGTCTCTGTCAGCCCCTGCAGAGAAGTCCTGCAGGGGGAAAGCCAGCTGCTGTGAGACCTGCTGGGCCTCTTTAAGGCTCCTCCCAAAGCCAGCTCCGGGACACCAAGCACGGCCTGGCATTGTGCTGCCTTTGCCTCAACTCCCAGTTGCCCTGCCCCTCAGCACTCCAGGCTTGTCTCCTCACATACATCCTCAGTTCTCCAATCTTCGTCTGAACCTCTGCTTTTGAGAGGATCTGGGCTAAGACAGCAGGTGGAATTCATGTCCACCTGGGTCAGGATTATCAGAGCCAACATCTGGGTGCTAAGAGCAATAGGGTACTTCAAAAACCCTGGAAAATGGAATTAAAAAGTAAGTTTGTGGGCTGGCGCTGTGGTGTAGAGAGTTAACGCTCTAGCCTGCCGGGCTGGCATCCCATATGGGTGCTGGTTCGAGTCCCAGCTGTTCCACTTCTGATCCAGCTCTCTGCTATGGCCTGGGAAAGCAGTAGAAGATGGCCCAAGTCCTTGGGCCCCTGTACCTGTGTGGGAGACCTGGAAGAAGTTCCTGGCTCCTGGCTTCGGATCGGCGCAGCTCCAGCTGTTGCAGCCATTTGGGGAGCAAACCAGCAGATGGAAGACCTCTCTGTTTTTCCATTTTTTTTTTTTGACAGGCAGAGTGGACAGTGAGAGAGAGAGACAGAGAGAAAGGTCTTCCTTTTTGCCGTTGGTTCACCCTCCAATGGCCGCCACGGCCGGCGCGCTGCAGCCGGCGCATCGTGCTGATCCGAAGCCAGGAGCCAGGAGCTTCTCCTGGTCTCCCATGTGGGTGCAGGGTCCAAGGACTTGGGCCATCCTCCACTGCACTCCCTGGCCACAGCAGAGAGCTGGCCTGGAAGAGGGGCAACAGGACAGAATCCGGCGCCCTGACCGGGCCTAGAACCTGGTGTGCCGGCGCCGCAAGGCGGAGGATTAGCCTATTGAGCCGTGGTGCCGGCCTGTTTTTCCATTTTTTTGTAACTCTGTCATTCAAATAAATAAAATAAATATTTTTTAAAAAAAGGTAAGTTTATTTTGGTGCTCCATATTTTTGAAATCCACTCATAGTTCTCTGATAATATGCATTTTCATTAATTAAAAAATTTTTTTGTGGCAGCAGGTTAAGCTGCTGCCTGCAACTCTAGCATCCTATATTGGGGCACCAGTTTGAGTCCTGGTTGCTCTGCTTCTGCTAACGTAGCTGGGCGAGCTCCCTGCTAATGTACGTGGGTGAGCAGTGAATGATGGCTTAAGTTCTTGGGTCCCTGCCACTGATGTAGGGAGACCTCTATGGAGTTCCTGGGCCAGCCCCAGCTGTTGCAGTCATTCGGGGAGTGAACCAGTGGGTGGAAGATCTCTCTGTCTCTATTGTACTGCCTCTCAAAAACTAAACAAGGCTTTTAAAAAGCTATTTATGTATTTGAAAAGCAGAGAGATAGAGGAAAAGAGACGGAAAGAGATTGCCTGCTGATTCTCTCCCAAAATGCCCTCAGCATCCAGGCCTGGGCCAGGCCGAAGTCAGGAGCCAGGAACTCAGTTCAGGTTTCCCACGTGGTTGATACCTGCTGCCACCTGCAGTGTACATTCTCGGGAAACTGCAATGGAGAAAAAGCCCAGGACTCCAACCCAAGTACTCTGATGAGTATGCAGGTGTCTCAAGTGATGGCTTAACTGGCTGTGCCAAACACGTGACCCCTTCTTAAAAAATAATTTTTATTTGAAAGGCAGAGAGACAGAGAGATTTTCAGGAATATTTTGAGATCTCTGGGTTTCAATTTTTTTTTTTTTTTTGCACCAAAATGAACTTATCTCTTACTTCCATTTTCCACAAACTTTTGGAAAGTACCCTGTACGCTCAGTGAACCTCCTTGCTGAATCCTGACCGTAACCTCTGCAATGTGGGTACGATTATTATCCACATTGTGTGATAAGGAAATGAAAGCGAAAAGAGGTAAAGCCACTCACTCGAGGCTGCAGAGCCAAGAGCTGGGCATGTGCCCAGGAGCCAGCGCAATCCTAAAACCCGTCTGGCAGACACCGCGCCCCATGCCTCCTATGTAGGCCATGACCTACTTATTCTAACACCTGAGATTGCCTTTGTGTGCTGTGTGGCTGGTCCTGGGGGGGTACGTGCAGGGCCCATACCCCAGCCCAAAGCCTGTCCTCAGCCAACAGACCCCTGGGAAGGAAGACCAGCGAACCCTGGAAAATATGGGGTGGGAGCCTCCGGCAAAAGAAACGCAAGGCTTACCAGTTCCTTTCTCAGCCATTCCAGGGTCTGCCCAAGACTTGGGGTTGGCTCCTCTGCTGTTTTCATCTCCGTGTCCTTGGGAGAGACCTTGACACTGCCCCGGTGATGGGCCCGAGGGACCTCTGACTCACAGAGCCTCCCACCTCCGTCAAGCTGGCAGCAGAGTCCGGCCAAGTCACCGAGGATGTAGTTAATGAGAGCAGAAAGTAGCTCACATTGGAAAATGTAATTTGGCTTTTTTTTTTTTTTTTAAGGTTTCAGTGCTTTGAACAGAATAAAGAGGAAGGAGGAAGGGAGAGAGGAAGGAGGGAGGAAGACCATCAAGGGTATGGATGCCTCCGTGGCTGCTGCATCCAGAGCCAGGCTGGTCTGATGCCAGGAGGATCTCAGAAACCATCGATCTTTAAGTGATACCGATAATCATTATCATGAAAACAGGGGTTCCTGCCTGAGAGCCCCTGTTTCTTTTTAGATTTATTTTTTATTTGAAAGGCAGCCTTACAGAGAGAGAAGGAGAGGCAGAGATCTTTCAACCACCAACTTACTCTCCCAATGGCTACCATGGGCCAGGCTAGGCCAGGCTGAAGTCAGGAGCCAGGAATTCTGTCCGGGTCTCCCACATGGGTGGCAGGGGTCCAAGTCTTGGTGCCATCTTCTTCTGCTTTCCCATGCACATTAGCAGGGAGCTGGGTTGGAAGCAGAGCAGCTGGGACTTGAACTGGTGCCCATATGAGATGTCAATGTTGCAGGTTGCAGCTCAACCCGCTGTGCCACAATGCCACCACCCCCAGCCCCTTCCAAGCTTGTGCTTTGCATATCAAATATGTATATACCTCATGTGGGGCAGATGTTCCCCTGTGCCTCTAATCCGTTTTCCTTCTCATTCATTTATCTACAGGATTTAGATAAAGGGATAGGCTCACTTTCCAAGTTCCTTTGCTTCTGGAATGCCCATATGATTCATTTTTAGAAAATGTGATCAAAGGAGAAACTTCTTAAGTTCAAGAAAAGCTTTCTTTCTAATGTAAGGAAAAATGGGGGTGGGCATTTGGCTTTGTGGTTAAGATGCCTGGGTGCCATATTGGAAGGTCTGGGTTCAAGTCTCAACTTCTGCTGCTGATTCCAGTTTCCTGCTGATACAGATTCTGGGAGGCACCAGGTATGACTCAAGTAAACAAGTCCCTGATGCCCATTGAGTTCCTGTTTTGGCTTTGGCCTGGCCCAGTTCTCTCTCTCTCTCTCTCTCTCTCTCTCTCTCTCTCCTCCCACCCCTCACTCTGTCTGTCTTGAATAATTTTTTACAAACAGATAAACGGAAAATGTCACTGGTACTTCCCCTTTACTCCTATTTTCTCTCCCTTTCTTCTGCCTTGAATAGGATGCAATGCCTGGAGCCACAGTAACCATCTTGCAATCACAGACAAAGGCCAAGAAACTGACAGAGTTTTGAAACTTGAGTCATGGAATCATAAGTAGCAGCTCTGTTGAGGGGGCCAATAGATTGCATTTGTCATTGGGCACTCGCTTCCTTACAGGACACACAATCCTCACTGACACAGTTTCTGCTTCACAACACCCCAAGCAATGAGTATTCTTTCAGTAAATACTTACTGAGCATCTACTGACTGCATACCAAGTTCTGCAAGAAGCAGCCCCAAACCAGAGAGAGAGAGAGAGAGAGAGAGAGAGAGAGAGACTCCTTGTTTTCCTGGCTCCGATATCCCAGTGGATAGAAGAAAATAAAAACCAAATTAATGCTATAATAAAAATAAAGAGGATTTTTTCTCCTTATAGGGATTAATTTTTGTAAATTTACTTCATACACGTGAAGTAGAAGCCCAGACCAAGAATTAACCTAGTGATTTCAGATAAGGATCTGAGCTGACTGGCCAGACAAACTCAATCCATGCTGGAGGGAGGCTGCACAAGATACCCACAGAAAGAGATCTGCTGAAGATGAAGACATACCCCAAATTACAAAGCACAAAAGGGAGGTCTGGCACTGTGGGGTAGCGAGTACAGCTGCCACATGCAGTGCCAGCATCCCATATGGGCGCCGGTTTGGGTCCCAGCAGCTCCACTCCCGATCCAGCTCTCTGCTGTGGCCTGGGAAAGCAGTAGAAGATGGCCCAAGTCCTTGGGCCCCTGCACCCACGTGGGAGACCCAGTAGAAACTCCTCGCTCCTGGCTTCGATTTGGTGTAACTCTGACTGTCGCGGCCAATTGGGGAGTAAACCAGCAGATGGAAGACCTCTCTCTCTCTCTCTCCCCCTCTGCCTCTGCCTCTGCCTCTGCCTCTCCTTCTCTCTCTGTGTAACTCTGACTTTAAAATAAATAAATAAATAAATAATCTATAAAAAAGGCACACAAGGGAACCATTCAGCATAAGTGAGAGGCAGAACACACCATCCACTGCGGTGCTGGAACCCCTTCCCCAGAGAACTCCAGGTGAACACGATTCTAAAATATTTTGGGTAGAAAGGCATACAAAAAGGGAACAACACACAGTACAAACAGTATTTTAAAAAGAACTCAATAGAATTTATAGAAGTAAAGACTGTAGCATCTATAAATTAAAGAGAAGAGTGATATTTATTGCATTTCCAGAAGACAGAGCTAGGGCAGTGGGTGCAGGACATAAAGGTGCAGGTTGGGACTCAGTGGGAGGAAGGGGTTGTTTGACTTCTTCCAGGCAGTGGCCATTTGGCCAGTGGGGTGCAGAAGCATAGCCCAGATGAGTGGGGAGGCCAGAGAAGGGACTTCACTGGCTTGGGGGTGGGACCTGGGACTCCTTCCAAGTGTGAGAACCACTGGGGGAGATAAGGGACGTTGTATAGGAAACCAGAGCACCTGGGCTCCACCTCTGACTTTACCAAACTTTCTTTGTGAGCATGGGCCTCATCCTTTCCCTCTTAGGCAAAACAAGGCTCAAAACAGTTAGTAGATTGAGTCATAAGGAAGCCCACATTTCTCATACCCTGGGGTTTACAGTCTGAGATGCATTCTGACTGTCACGTGCAGGTAAAATTTTTCTGTGCAATGTCTCCCAGTTCAGCCATCACTCTTTAGAACCAAAATGTATCTGAGAGACTCCCATCTGGCACATTTACAACCTTCCAGAAATGGCTCCTCCCTGGCAGGTCACCAAGCATTGTGTCACCTGGCCCCCTCGTCATGGGACAATGGCTTGAAGCAGAGATGGGTGCCCCAGCCCAAGGAGGCCTGCACACTGGACAGGAGGAAGATCCTCGGTTCCTGAGTGGCTGGTATTCCGGGAACTATGCTCTGAGTGGCAACCAAGTGATCCAAGCAGAGCTGTTCTTGGAGACTTGGGGTCTGCACAGACAGAGGAGTCGGGTTATCCCAAGCACACTGTGTTAACAAACCTCCCCCAAACTCCATAGTTTTAAACAAACATCACTAATTTTCCTGCCTGAGTCTGTGCGTTGGCTGGGGTTGTGTGCTACTGGCAGCAGATCTGCAGATCTGAGGCTGGTCTGTGGGTTCCCTATCTTCCTAGAATCACGGGCATGCAGGGACACACTCTTTGCTTTAGTCCTAAGCTCAAAACTATGACATCATTGTCTTTGTTACATGCCATTGGCCAAGCTCCGGCCGTTGCAGCCAATTGGGGAGTGAACCATTGGATGGAAGACCTCTCTCTCTCTGCCTCTCCTCTCTCTGTGTAACTCTGACTTTCACATGCTAATGCACAGGAATGCACACTCCACCTACAGAAAGATCAAGTGTGTGCAGTTAGGGAGGGTAGAGAAGTGGGAGTGAGAATGCCACACTAGGAAGGGATCAGTTCAGAAGTGGGGCCAGGCTTGTCAGGACTCAGAGGGAGGGTGACAATCAGAAACCAGGCCAGAGATGGAGACAGGAAATGTTGCACAGCAGCGGCAGGAGACGCAGAAAGAACTAGAAAGAAAGTGGTTTCAGAGCAAGACTTAACCATAACTTAGGACAACCAACAATGTGTTGATCTTCTACTCGAGACCAGGCATCATGCTAAGCCTTGGACATACACAGCCTCATTTCATCTTCAAAATCTAGGACTGTGGTTCCCAAACTGCATGCCAAGGCACCCTGAGGCATTGGAAGAAGAACACTCTGCAAGACAGTTGCAATTCTGAGGGGAACACTGACATCTGTGGATGCTGTGTGAACAACCATCATTAAGTGTGTGAGCCTAACTATTTAATGAGTGACTGTTCAGTAGCTCTTGGACCTGGTGCACTGTGAAAGGATGACAGACATGCTCTGGGGGCCTCCGCCTGTGGATTGCATTTTACAGATGATTACGCGTCTATCCTATTGTTAACAACTTTCTGCAGATGAGGAAACTGAGGCTTGGTGAGGCATGGATTTTCCTAGGGCCACACCAGTAAGCAGAGCTGGAATTTGAACCTCTCCTGACCTGAGTGGGGAGGGTCTTGAAGCACCCCCCATGTGGGGGTTCAAACCAGGCCCAGCAGGGTCCTTGCTGGGAGCACTTGACAGCCTGGGACCTGTCCTCTGTCCCCAGTGCAGATGCCTAATTACCCTGGAAAGCCATTTCTTGTGGTTAACTTGTTTTGATACACTGTCATTTATTTTTAATTCACTCTTGGGATTCTGACTCAGAGCACATTTTACTTCACGGGCTCAGAAAAGACTTGGCACATGGAGATGAGGAGCTGCAGCTTTGAGTGAGGAAAACGCCATGACCAGAAGAGAAAGCCGGAATGGCTGTCCATTCAAATTCCTGGACGACCAACGGCTCAGCCTTCGTGTGCCAGACCCCGGGGTACAGCCTGGGGATACAGTGGTGAGCCGGAAGCACCTCACTCCTGACTTCACAGGGCTTGTGGTCCAGCTAATCAGGTGGTCCATTAACAATCAATTCATTCAAACATTTGTATACCACAAGTCTGCCAGTGTTTGAGTGTGTGTGTGTGAATGTATATATGAAGGAAATAATTTGTAAAAGGAGAAACTATGACCCAGGTTAGTTCATAGCAAGTCAGCAGCTATGACAAAAATTGAGGTTGTCCCTCAATATCCCTTCTCAAAAGACTACATTTCCCAGACTCCCTTGCAGGTAAGTAGGCAAAGTGATTAAATCCTGGCCAATGGGATATCAAAGGAGGTAATGAGTACAATGTGTGGGTCATGCCCTTAGAGGGATGAGGAGATTACCTCCCCTTCCTCCACGTCCTCCTCCTGGTGGCTGCAGTGTAATGATAAGGGATGGAGCAGGGGCTGTCACTTGGAACACAAGGTGAGGATGGCAGACGGAACCCAGGTCTCCTGTGATTGGTGAACAGAAGCTGAGAATGTGGATCCTAATTTCCCACCCTCCCCTGCACTCCTCTTTTCTCTTTCCACAGCAAGGAGAGAACAGAGCACCCAGGTTTGCCATTCGCCAATACTGGGAACATCAGCCAGGAAGGCCAGAGGTGCACACCTG